AAGGAGATAATGATGGACCTGGCTGGGCTACTGATTTAAGTGGACCAGATTTATTCCCCAACAATATAATCCAGACAGTAAACCGGGACTTCGATGTGTCGTGTCATGGCCGGGCAGGGAAGAGCCATGTTCAGAGATCTTCCCTAATGAGCTCACCCATGTAGTGCAAAGCAGGGTGATATTAATTCTTAATGGGGGCATTCAAAGTTTAGTTAGTGAAGAATAGGGAGCATTTGTGATTAACTGGCCAAATTAATAGCAAGTGGCACATTAAAACTTTGCTGGGCTCAGTCTGCCCTCCTTCCTGTCACAGAGGGTTTTTCAGATGCAATCAGAAGGGACTCTGAATGTTGAAATGTACGCGTAGAAAAGAAAAGCATAAGTCTAAGGTTGAATGATAAAGCCAACAGTATTCTTTCTTTATCTTACTGTCAACAAATCACATTAGAAATGAAAGCAGGTACAAAAAAAACCACAGCTGGACCCTGTAGTTTTCGTCATACGTTACTCAAACAAGAGGAAATTGTCCTATTTTTAGCTGAGGATTAATCCACAGCAGCAGGATAGTGTATGTGCAACTGATTCAAAACAAAAGCCCTGCATGTGTGATTGACTCAAAACAAACTAAAACCTCTGCGTTAACATTATGGAACAAATCAGTCAGTGCACGTGTAAATGGTAAATGGACTTGTACTTTCTAGTCTTCCGACCAGTCAAAGCGCTTTACACTACATGTCATTCATCCATTCATACAGTGATGGCAGTGCATGAATGGGTGTGAGTGCAAGGTGCCACTATCCATCAGGACGAACTAAGCATTCACACCCATTCACACACCGATGGCACAGCCCTCGGGAGCAATTTGGCATTAAGTACAGTCCATCGACCTTGACTAGTGGAGCCGGGGATCGACCCGCCGATCCTCTGAGTGAAGGAAAACCCGCTCTACCACTGAGCCACAGCCGCCCCAGTGTGAATGTTCATCTTGTGTGGCACCTTGTATAGCCTATGTCACCGGTGTACGAATGTGTGTGTGAAAGGGTGAATGCTGACTTGTGTTGTAAAGAGCTTTGAGTAGTCGCTTAGATTAGAAAAGCACGATATAAATAGTCCATTTACCCCTATAGGTTTGGTTCTCTAAGTCTAACAGCACGCCAACAATATAATATAACAATTAAAACACACAACGGCTATGAATAATTACAATTTCCTATAAATGTGGTGTGAAAAGTGAATGAAAACATTTGCCATGGGGGCACTGGCCCCCTCTGCCACCACCACCCCACCCCACATATTTAATTGCTTAATTGTTCAATAGTTCAAAGCAATAACTCTTATCAGCCTTTGAACCTGCCTGGCAACACTTTAAGCTTTATCTAACAACATATTTTTGTCGGTTTTGTCTCTGACTTTGCAGCAATCTTTGTTGTGAATGTTGTTGTGGGGGTAACACCTTCAGATGTGTTACGCAGTGCGTAATTACATGTGATCAATTTCAATTTAAAAGTGTGTATTTCTTTATCTGTACAATATCAACTGTTTTCCAATGACACATTCCACTTATAGATTCCCTGTTTGTTTTCCAATGCAAAACATTTCGGCTGAAATGCTGCAGGCAGCTGAGGAAGCTCGATCTTACTCAGTTTCAAAGCTGGAACATTTTGCTTCGTGCTTTTAAACAACAGTTTCTTTTCCATTCCTACGATTTTCTCTTCGTGCTTACCAGCAGGGGAAGGCCATGTTCCATCAGACACTTAATTAAAGAGCCTTTTCTATTATTGACAGCCTTTGCATGTAAAATGGCCTCCAGTTGCATTAGTCTCTCTGCAAATACATTCATCTTCTTTGGAGGACACAGATGTTTTATGCCTCATCTCACACGTTCTCTCTCATTGCTTCATGCATTCTTATGGGTTGCACACAAATCAACATTTTATATGTTCAAAATATAATTAATGTGATAGTGTGCCATGCATAGGAAATAAACAATACATAAATAAATCTTTGTGATATAAAACTGCTCTCCCACGGAATTCACTCCCAGTTGTTTCTTGACAGAGCAGTTTAATACAAGCAATTCTGCTGCACTGGTCCCACGAGCAGTAGCGCACTAATTCAGTACTTGGTGTGTGTGTGTGTGTGTGTGTGTTTGTGTGTATGCATGCGGGTGTGAGTGAATGCAAGCTTGCATGCTGCCCTGTGAGTCACGTCCCTTTGTGGTAAACCACGAGAGGACAGCATTGTTACGCTTTGACAGAAATTCTCCGGAGCCTACATTTTCACTCTCACACTCACCCATAGTCATGCAACTCAGACACACACACACACACACACACACGCACACACGCACACACGCACACACGCACACACGCACACACACACACACACACACACACACTCCAGTCTCTTAGTTAAGACATACAGAGATGCACTCAGTCACTGAACCTGGAACAGTCGCTCAAATTCAATTATTGACACCGGTTGAGTTGGCCAAGCTATTGCAGCTTGAGACTTAAAAGGTGAAGCAACTGTTAGGGTCAGAGTGGCTCTGCAGAGAGACCAAGTGCTAAATTTGCAATTTGGTCCAATCCAGTTAAAAAAAACAGACTTTCTCATTTTATCTTCTGATGAGGAATTCAGCTCACATTAGGAGCGACAGTAACCCAGGAGGACTATCCACCTCTCAGTTGTCCTCACTACATGCGGCAGTCTCTATTCCTCTCCACGATCTCCTGTTAGACTAAAAATCAATCCCCCAATGGAGCAGCAGCGCATTTGTCTTTGACTTGACAGAAGCTTGGGTCAATAAAGGCACTGCATCGCTACTCCCTCATTGGGCCTCCCAGCAAAGCCTCTGCTTGGCACAGCAATACTGACTGCCATCCATGATAGATGGCACAGGCATGTGAATGGAATCACTGGAGCAAGTCGGAGCGACTGACACATTTTGTTGCCTCTCCCACTTTTATCTCATGGTGGTGCATCAGATGCTAAAATGACAGAAACTTTGACTCTGCCCACTGGATACCACAGTAGACAACACTCTAACTCTTGTTTTTTTCCACCAATGTTCTTGTCTAAATTGAGGAAATGGAAATAGTTATTTTATGACTACTCTATCATCTCTTTTACTGCGAATCAAAGTACTAGTTAGTATGATATATATTATAGGCGCGCTAGTGATGAAATGGTGTCTGTCAGTCATTCACATTGGGCACATGGGAGAAATTTGCCTTTAGGACTTTCTGCTTTATTCTAACACAAACCACAATCTTTAACCTAACTTAACCAAGTAGGTTTGTTGCCTCAAGATAAGGATAATTCTGTCAGAAAGCCCTGAAGGTAAACTTCTCCCATCAGCCCATTTTGGTCCAAACTGATACAATTGGATGGATTGCTATGACATTTGGTACATACATTTTGTCCCCTTCCAGATGAATCACTTTGAGGGTCCCTGACTGTTCACCACCGTCAAGTCAGAATTTCAATGTGTCCAATACTGTGGTTTATGATAAATAGCTGCCAAGCTAATGACATTCCCATGAGCCTCAGCTGTACTTTGTGTTGAATGCTAATTGCCTGCTAAAGGCCTAAACTAAGATGGTGAACTTGGTAAACATTATATCTATTAAACATCAGGGTGTTAGTATTGTCACTCAGACCATTCAGGATGTTTAAATGAACTATTAGTATGCCATTACCAGCAGACTGTTCATACTGAAGTGAACTCCAGAAATACTCACTTCGCTGCATCACATGATGTTACCATTCCGAGCTACCGTTGAATGAAAATTCAATATCACAAATTTTAAACAAAATTAAAATGATTAAATATGTTAGTGTTAAATATGTATTCTACAGGACATGATATATGTGATCTTAATTTTACCTTAACGCCACTCTATAGCTATAATCTATACGGCATTTCTGACTGTTTTTCTGACATTTTGCCCATCCCACATGTGATAGAAGATACCATTGTATATCAAACATAAAAAATTTAACAATATTTCTTTCAGTAACATACTGTGTATAACAAAACTAAATAAAAGCACCAACTATAACCTAAAATGTATCTTGAGCAAGAGCTTTTTCTCATCTCTCATGCATTCTCCAAGCATAATTTAAACGTTATGTACGTAAATATCCAGGTCAGTTTTTGTGCATCAACCTAAAAAAAAACATCTATCTCTGTTTTTATCTTACTACACAGAATATCATCCGGTTCCTGGAGAAAAGATGCTGACAAGTTTCACTGATAAGTAGAGTTGTTTCTAATAACCTTTGAACTCTCAACATACCTTAAACTATATCAACTATCTCAATTCTTGGAGAAGAATGTGTAGCAGACGAGGTTGGCTAATTAATTTCCTTGGTGTTAATAAAAGACAGCTTAGCCTGACTAAGAGGAACATAATTACAAAATTCCTTTAATTTACTTGATTGCCCCTTGGATGAACATGGGATTTCCTAATTAACCTGCTGCAGCCCACTTCCTTCAATACCAATAATGAGCAGACTAGTGAATCATCCTGACCCTATTATTATTTGTCATGAATAAATGTATGTGTCGCTATTATTATCAATTACATGTTCTGCAATTATGCATATCTATGCAGCTCCCCTGCTATTAGCTCTTTCCCGAATTGCTCTTTTAAAAACACAAGACAGCAGCTCGGCTAACAGGCAACGGTCTCCTTAACAACACATAACACATTCACAAACAAGCACACACACTTCCTACACAGAGTGGAGTTTCCCAGATTCTCCAAATGATGTCAGAACAAAACAACATCTCAACTGTGTAAACATTACAAATAATGTACGATCAGAGTAAAATATGTACAATACATTTATTCAATTCACCACAGTGGGACAGGCCCTCTTTAAAGAAAAGCTGGAACAGTTATGAGAGTCACTTCCTATTCTCATAACTTTGCATCGTGTGTCTAAAGGTCTCGGCTACTTCCTCTTTTGTTACGTATCAATACTGATGACACTATTTACTTTCCACCACATTCCACCAACGTTACCCCGTGTGTAGAGCAGCATTTTAATTTTCTTTTACACTTTATGAAGATTTGAACATTATAATGATCATGGATGGAGACGTGTTGTCTTTGTCGTCTTCCTCATCATTATCGTCATCAGGAGCTACAGGAACACAGAAAGAAACCTCACCAAAGAACGACAGCAGCCTCCCTCAGAGCCAACAGGATCACAAATCAACTGAAGAATTATGGTACGTATGTTTCACATTTCTACACTACGGGACAACACAAAAACAGGAACATAATATAGTTTAATCTATAACAATTTAATATAACGACTCCTCCAACTACAGCCATCAACACCTCTCTGACTGATGGTGAACAAATGTTAAACATTATACAGTAAAGGTAGTATTTATTGTAGGGATATTGTATTGTATTTTACAGGGATTCCTGCACTAATGAAACGTATGTGATCTGGCCATCATTTGTAATGTATTATATTCTAGAAACAGAAACCCATTATGGATGAATTATATTTCATAAGTTCAATGAGAGGAGGAATAAAGAGTGACTGCGGAGTTTCCCATGAGGTCATGAAGATGTAGCCTTCAGTTCAATATTTCACAACACTGATACTCGTCATGTTGTAAATAAATGCTATTATAATTGTATCGATTATATAATTTCAAGCCATCATCCTGAAGTTAGCTTTGTATATCATGGTCTCTTCTTTCATGGCTCTTAATGTGGGCACACTTGCTAAATGTCGTGACAACACTACCTACACAAATGATTAGTCTGCCTTAAAATAACCATGTTGAAATAGTGAAACTGCACACTTCTCTCCTCTGTAAGAGGATCCGACTGTGGCCATCGACCAGTAACACACACACAGGCGCATCTAGAGTGATATTTCTCAGGTTTGCCACCAGCAAGATAGAAAGATAATATCTCTCTCTTTATCATATGCCATGACAGTGAATTATCATATTGCTGCTGGAAGCAGTGGCATTTTGGTGTCCTTCCAAGGCGGCATACAATTGAAAACTTTGTGAAACTGGGTCAGACAGTGTGTATCGGCTGTCAGTGAAGCGGAAAGAGAAAAGGCTCTGGATCAGAGAGACATGGAGCATGGTGTGCTCCCACAAGGACGGCTGAATACACAGAGCTGACTTGCCAAGGCAGGGTATTGGGCATGGGTATGTTAGCATTTTGTGCTCATACTGGCCACTAACACATGGCTCCATTTCATGTGTTTCATTTCAGCTTCTGACTTGATCCTACACTTCCCAAACTGTAGAACTGTTTGTTCTGTGTGGCTAATTCTCTCTTTAGTGTCCATAAAGAGCCTTCACTAAAGATTGTTCCCGCCTTGTTGAACTTGATGACAGATGGTACAGAGTGCAGATTTGGACAAATGTTTTCACTCTGGGTTAACTTTTCTATTTTTTATGTAGGTTTCACACAAATAGCAATGTATTGTAAAATAGCACTTCATTTTATTGAGAACGTAACCTTGTTTTTGGATATTATCTTTTCAGGAAATAAGGAAAATCCCCTTGTTCTGAGCTTGATAACAACACATTTATAACGTTGTCCAGGGGCTAATTATACGGGGTCATCATTTTAAAGTTGCCAGGCAGTGAAAAACAACAACAAACCCCATCGTTTTTTGTCGTTGTTGTTGTTTGCTTGGAAAGAGCCAGTTCAGCTGTTTCCACCTGTTTCATGTCTTTATGCTAAACTGGTATCAATCTTCTCATTTAACTCTTCGCAAAACAAGTACGCTTATTCTTTTTTCACAATTTTGAATGACTGCTTCAAGCTTGAGAGGAAAAAGAATGTCTAATCTTTTATTTCAATCATCCCAGAGTAGAGCTCTGTGCGGGACTCCAGCCCGCTGGATTCCTGACCATTATCGCCGCTTCCTCAGTGTGTGTCTGCTCCGGCCTACACTTTTTCTAACATTCTGCCCATGCATACACGTTCACACAAAATATGGAATATTGACAAATGATTTTGTGTCTTCTCCCAGGGAAAACATGTTGTTTTACTGTGTGGTAATAAAGATGTAGTGGTTGGCTATTTAGTGGCTACATTAACAACGTGTTGAATTATGTCAACAAAGCCTTTCCCGTCTGCAAAGTTATGCAAGCGAATATCTCTACAGCTCTGCTTTTTTTTAAAGCAGAGCTTACTTTGACTGGGTAGCACGGAGCCACCAGGCCAATGTCGCCTCAACCCAGAGGTGCCATATTTGCGCCCATTGTAGATCCATATTTTTACACATTTGTTGCAACTAAGTCCAGTCCATTTCCATCTTTGTCAGTAACAACTGAAAAATGTCTCCAAATGTCAGACTTGCCTTGCTTTGCTTTTGAATTGTAATTACCTGCATTTTAACTTCATTTGTTGACTCCATTCTTCCGGTTAGCGCTAGCAAAATCCTAGGACCCGCAGTTAGTTTTTTGACCGCCCGCTCCCAACCACAGCAAAGTTTAAACTGCCCACTCTCTCGGGATTTGCGGGATCCCACGCCCAATGCAGTCCTCTATCCCTCAGTAGCTTATATGTATTGTAAACTGTTAAACACAACATTGTCATGAAACATCAGTATCTTTTCAGGAATATATTACTTGAAAAATACTATTTTTGGCATTAAATAGACCTGCATTTTCCCATTTGTACTGCCTTTAATGCAACTCTCTAAAATTGTGTAACACCGGTTTTCACATAGCAGGACATTGTGATTAAGTGGAGGAAAATGCGTGTTTGCGACACGAGTTTAACCTTAAGGGGGATGGGATGTGATCGCAGATTGTGATTCTGAGGTTACAGCAGTCCTACAGTATGCTTGTATGACGAAGCCCTGGGGGCTACATTCAGAGATGTGTGTTCTTCCATAGCAGGCAGAACCCCCCCGGGCTTAAGATCTCTCCTACATCTCTGTCAGCTTTGCCTGATAGACAAGACCTCACAGCAGGGCTGGTAGAAAGGACACTCATTTGAATATTAATCTTTGCAAATAGTTGTTCAATAGAATTCAACATTTTGCAGGTGTCATCACCCACATTGTTTCCAGGGGCTATCAATATGCAAAGACATCTAATAATAAACAGAGATTCTGATTGGCTGGGATGCAGAGAAATGCACCACCCTGTACGTGTGTGTCTGAGGTTTTTCAGTGCATAATGCGACTGCATGCATGTGTGTGCGTGGGTGTGCATAATAGCTCCGATTCAATTCTCTGTAAGTGCACTCTATGCGAGTGGGTGTTCAAAAGTACTCTGACGTTCTTTTGTGCGCACATGTGTTTGCTTATTAATGGAAATCCTTTCCTAATGTTCTTCATCATGACTTTATTTATGGAACATTTTCTCTGTATCTGTGTGTTGGTGTGTGATGCAGGACAGAGGATGTGGGTCCCGTGGGTGGCAGCAGGCTGCTGTCCACTGAGGAGCAGGTCACTCTGATCACTGAGAGTATGACTGTCACCTCCACTGACCAGGAGAAACTGCTGCTGCTCAACAAGAACACTGAGCTCCGCCGAGTCAACAAAGAGGTACAACATCACCTTAAACCGGTGCAGATTCTCTGCTGGACCACATTTGTATTGCTGATGCTGGCCATTACATTTGGTCTTCTCTGAAAAACCAGAGGAGGACTGTAGGCGTTTTGTGAAAACTGCTGCTAAGCTGTGAAGAATCATCATTAAATGTACGCAACCTTTGCTTCTTGATTTTAATTGGATGCTGCTTAATAAAAAGAGAAAGAAAGAAAGGAGAAATGATTCTCTCAACTGTTTTAAACTGTACGATTCTCTCAACTGTTTTAAACTGTGATGTATTTAGAGTGTGTTGTGTCTCACCTCACTGACCTCAATCAACTTCTCGATGCCCACGTTGCTTTCAGGACAGCCTGAGAATGACAACAGTAATGATAGAATGACTGCTGCTGTCGCTGGCTGCAGTGGAGGCCATGGCACTGATGATAATGTGATGATGATGGTGTGTTACAGCTGATGAAGCTGAATGGGGACTGGGACCAGGTGTACCGCAGCGCCACGCTGGGTCTCCAGCACAGACTGGAGGCGCTGGAGCTGGAGAACACTGCCGTCAAACAGCTCAACAGCAGACTGTTGCTCAAAGTCCAGCACCAGCAGGTAAACACACAACAGTACTTTAACTGTAGGTATGGAGGACAGGGGTGTAATACCTAAACGGTGAGTTATGGCTGAGGAGGTATTGATGGTGGAAGATAATAGATGTGGTTTATGTGTGAGGTTTTCTGCTGTGTTTGGGATTGCAGAGTGCAAAGGAGTACTATGAGCAGGCTTTGATGCAGGAGCTGAAGAAGAACCAGGAGCTGTATGAATACATCAGATTGGTGGAAAGCAGGATGCACCACCCAAACAGAGACTGCACACCTACCAAACAGGTATTATACCTGTCAGTGGAACATTCTCTCATGAGTTATGACTTGTATATTGTTAATCATTTTTTGTTATATCTTTACTATAGGACAGCTTCAGTGCTGTGATATGCGGCCCTGTGACTGGGCCCACCACCAGTCCTCCAGTAGGTCCCGACCTGTCACCCAGTCACATCTCTGGATACAACCCCTCATCCTCCCCTTTCACAGCTTCTTCCAGCCCAGAGGACGGGCGGCAGGGACAAAGCCAAAGTAGAAGTACCCCACTGGGAGCACTGGGAGACCCCCAGCGAGAAGTGCATGATCTAAAAGAGCAGCTTGAGGCACTGCAATGTCAGGTGGGGATGCTCTCGTCAAGCACAGCATCAAACGATGTTCCCATTTCTGATGTGATGAGAGCAAAACTGAAGTCAGCTCACTGTTGTCAGGGAAAGATTTGCTTAATGCTTAAACTTGAATTTGATGGTAAAGTGCACCACCAAGTGGTGCCTTGGTGCTGTTTTCTCACAGGAAAATAAGAAGTATCTGCAGATCACAAGATATGGCTTTGATATTGGCTCACTGCCATATTGATGACTTGTGTCAACAGACCCAGATATATGAAGCTGAATATCAGACAGAGCATAACGACCACAAACACACACTCCAGGAGAACCGGAGGCTGAGGAAGAAGAGGGAGGAGACTCGCCAACAGGTGGCACTACTGCAAGAGCAGGTAGTGTTTTACAGTACATATTCACACAGATGCACACTCTGCCAAAGGCACACGCTCACAAACATACACGCACGGACATACACATGCACATTCATACTTGATGATACATTTTTAAATGGAAATGTGCTGTGATAAAAAAAAAAGCAATAATTGCAGTGCTAGAATTATTTTGTTAATTCTAACAAATGTTGGTTTGGTTGAATGTGTAGAGGATAAGTGTCTGGCTAGTGCAATAGCAGTTTAAACATACTGCAGGTAACCATATGATCTAAAATAAAGTCTTATTTGAATTTTAAAAAACAACCTTTATTAGATATTTTCACGGCTCCACATCTCCTCCCAGGGTTTAAAATAACCTATTTTGACAATATATGGTGATGAACCAACTTATTGTTGATTCCTGAATTTCTTTAGGTGTGTTTTTCAATGGAATCTCGTGTTTTTTTTAATGATTATTTTACTATCTCTGGTTATGACATTGCTACAGATCAAGGTTTATGAGGATGACTTCCGCCGGGAGCGATCGGACAAACAGATGCTGCAGCGGCTGTTGATGAAGAAAACGCCTCCAAACAAGGAGCCTGTGCTTATCCACCGCTGCAATAATGAGCAGCAGCCGCCAGGAGGAGACAAGAGGACACAAAGTGGAGAGAAAAGAAAACAGCACCACCCACTCTGCCCCAAGCACCCAAACAGGGACAAAGACTCAGACTGAGGGCCGGAGATAGACTCAACCAGGTCAAATTTTAGCCCTCAATTTTTAGTTGTCCTTAATACTCACTGACAGTACTTTTATCTGATTACTAACAAATTCATGTTTATGTTTATGGAAATAGCCCAACGTCAGCAAATCTGAGGTCAAATGAATTGTTTGTTCTTTTAGGGTTCTGCTTTCTACCCTTCATAATAAATGCAGTGTTTTACTGTACAATCCTTAATACAAACAGTTGCCAAGTTTGGTACCTACAGTATATATCATTAATATATTTAATATGCGTTCTTTAATATACCTCTTTCCAATATACTGTATCTTATTCTTCATAGGTAATGTGTTTTGTTTTCTCTGACTTTGATTACTATCAAGACAAACAAAAAAAACTATAAATATATTCAAAATAATACAAAATATATGATGATAACCGATATAAGCTGGTGGTGTGTTACTGCTTCAACGTCTCTGCGTCAGAGGAGGTTATCCGACTTATTTCTAATAACAGTTTAATCGTATCTTCCTTATGTTGTACATTACTTTGAAGTCTGTAAAATAATTTATTCTCAAATGACTTGACTCAATAAAATCAACCACAATAAAAGTCAAAGACCTCAATCGGTTGGAGTGTCCTGCTGAGTTAATGTTTGCTCTTACACTGAAGGAAGCTGTACGGTTTACGGCTTCTGTTTCCTGTTTCCTGTTCACTGGTCCACATCTGAACTGACGCTAGTGACACATCATCACACATCAGAGATGGCCACCAGGACATCAGGGGTTTCCCCTCTGTAAATTAGTCTCTCAGCGTTCTCGGAAAGTTCCTTCAACAGACTGTTAAAGATTCCTTAACCTGCCTAGTACATTTTATGAAGCAGTCTATCACAAGTGATCTATTCATTTATTTGGATTTGTGTAAATGAAGTCATGAATGACATCATGCGTCAGACTAAATAAGTCCATGAGGAAACCAAGAGGTCGCATCACATGCTTCTAGTCACTATGACTGAAGTTATACTGTAATGTGGACGCTGATGTTTCTTGACCACACACAGACAACGATCTGCGTCCTCAAACATGGTTCTCACACAGTTTTCAGAAAAGAAAGTTGATAACTTGTTTGTACGTTGCTAAGTATCTTCCTCCTTCCCTATTTATAAATCCAAATGTAAGCGCCTAATAAATAAGTAAGGGACTATATAAAAAGTATTCTGCGGAGAAGGGGGTCAAAGAAGAGAATGTATTATTATGTTTTTCATGCTTTTTTTATTGAGTGAGTGAATACAATACAAATATTTCACCACGTTACATATTCATCCTTTCTTCAAGAGTTTAAAAAAAACACGCCCACCCCACTTTTTCTGTGAGCATCCATCCATCCATCCATTTTCCTCCGCTTATCCGGGGTCGGGTCACGGTGGCAGCAGGCCAAGCAGGCTGACCCAGACTTCCCTCTCACCGGCAACATGTTCCAGCTCATTCTGGGGGATCCCGAGGCGTTCCCAGGCCAGCTGGGAGATGTAATCCCTCCAGCGTGTCCTGGGTCTTCCCCGTGGTCTCTTCCCAGTTGGACGTGCCTGGAAAACCTCCAGTGGGAGGCGTCCAGGAGGCATCCTAATTAGATGCCCGAACCACCTCAGCTGACTCCTTTCGACGCGAAGGAGTAGCGGCTCGACTCCAAGCTCCCTCCTGATGACCGAGCTCCTTACCCTATCTCTAAGGCTGAGCCCGGCCACCCTACGGAGGAAGCTCATTTCGGCCGCTTGTAACCGCGACCTTGTCCTTTCGGTCACGACCCAGAATTCGTGACCATAGGTGAGGGTAGGAACGTAGACCGAGTGGTAAATTGAGAGCTTTGCCTTCCGGCTCAGCTCCCTCTTCACCAAGACGGTCCGGTGCAGCGCCTGCTTTACTGCTGCAGCCGCACCGATCCGTCTGTCGATCTCCCGCTCCATCTTACCCTCACTCGTGAACAAGACCCCAAGATAGTTGAACTCCTTCGCTTGAGGTAGGCACTTCGTCCCCACCTGGAGGGAGCAATCCACCGGTTTCCGGCAGAGCACCATGGCCTCAGATTTGGAGGTGCTAACTCTCATCCCCGCCGCTTCACACTCGGCTGCAAACCGCCCCAGTGAATGCTGGAGGTCACGATCCGAGGAGGCTAACAGGACCACATCATCTGCAAACAGCAGAGAGGCGATCCCAAGACCCCCGAACCTGACGTTCTCCACCCCCAGGCTGCGCCTAGATATCCTGTCAGGATCCTGTCAGCACCCCCCACAAGAACCCCCGAGGGACCCGGTCGAAAGCCTTCTCCAAGTCCACAAAGCACATGTAGACTGGTTGGGCAAACTCCCAGAACCCCTCCAGTAGTCTTGCGAGGGTAAAGAGCTGGTCTACTGTTCCACGGCCAGGACAGAATCCGCATTGCTCCTCTTGTATCTGAGGTTCGACAAGCGGTCGGAGCCTCCTTTCCAGCACCCTGGCATAAGCCTTCCCCGGGAGGCTGAGTAGTGTGATACCCCGGTAATTCGAGCACACTCTCCGGTCCCCCTTTTTGAAAATGGGAACCACCACCCCGGTCTGCCAGTCCATGGGCACTGATCCTGACCCCCATGCGACATTGAAGAGGCGTGTCAGCCAGGACAGCCCAACTATGTCCAGCGCTTTCAGCATCTCAGGGCGGATCTCATCCACCCCCGGCGCCTTGCCACCAAGGAGCTTTTTGACTACCTCAGCGGCCTCTGCCAGGGATATGGGTGAGCCTCCCCCTAGATCTTCAGGCGCTGCCTCCTCTGCAGAGGACATGTTGGTCGGGTTTAGGAGTTCCTCAAAGTGCTCTTTCCACCGCCCGACGATGTCCCCTGTCCGGGTCAGCAGTTCCCCCCCCCCCCTGCTGAGAACAGCCTGGGGTAAGCCCTGCTTTCCCTTCCTGAGCTGTCGGATGGTTTGCCAGAACCTCCTTGAGGCCAACCGAAAGTCCTTCTCCATGGCCTCCCCGAACTCCTCCCATGCCTGAGTTTTAGCATTCGCGACCACCGCAGCTGCAGCCCTTCTGGCCTGCCGGTACCTGTCAGCTGTTTCGAGAGACCTCTGGGCCAACCAGGCCTTGAAGGTCTCCTTCAGCTTGACGGCTTCCCTCACCTCCGGTGTCCACCACCGGGTTCTCGGGTTGCCGCCACGACAGGCACCGATGACCTTCCGGCCACAGCTCCTAGCGGCCGCGTCCACAATAGAGGCTTTGAACATGGTCCATTCGGATTCCATGTCCCCAACCTCCCTCGGGATGTGAGAGAAGTTCTTCCGTAGGTGGGAGTTAAAGACCTCCCGGACAGGGTCCTCTGCCAGACGTTCCCAGTTCACCCTCACTACACGTTTGGGCTTGCCGGGTCTTTCCAACCGGTTCCCCTGCCATCTGATCCAACTCACAATCAGGTTGTGATCAGTTGACAGCTCTGCTCCTCTCTTCACCCGAGTGTCCAAGACATATGGCTGCAAATCAAATGATACGATTACAAAGTCGATCATTGATCTCCGCCTAAGGTGTTCTGGTACCAGGTACACTTATGAGCCACCTTATGTTCGAACATGGTGTTCGTTATGGCCAAACCGTGGCAAGCACAGAAGTCCAATAACGAGACACCATTCGGGTTCAGATCGGGCAAGCCGTTCCTCCCAATCACCCCCCACCAGGTTTCTCCGTCATTGCCCACGTGAGCATTGAAGTCCCCCAGGAGAACTATGGAGTCGGTAGGTGGCGCCCTTTCCAGGACCCCTCCCACCGACTCCAAGAAGGCGGATACTCTGAACTGCTGTTTGGTGCGTAAGCACAAACCACAGTCAGAGCCTTGCTCCCCGCAACCCGTAGGCGCATGGAGGCGACCCTCTCGTTCTCCGGGGAGAACTCCAACACAGCGGCGCTCAGCCGGGGGCTCGTGAGTATCCCCACTCCCGCCCGGCACCTCTCACCCTGGGCAACTCCGGAAAAGGACAAAGTCCAACCTCTCTCCAGGAGCTTGGTTCCAGAGCCAGCGCTGTGTGTGGAGGTGAGTCCAACTATATCTAGCTGGTATCGCTCCACCTCCTGCACCAGCTCTGGCTCTTTCCCCGCTAGCGAGGTGACGTTCCACGTCCCTAGAGCTAGTCTATGCTGCCGGCGATCGGCTCGCCCAGGCCTCCCGCCTGACCCGCCGCCCGGTCTGCATTGCACCCGACCCCGATGCTTGTCCCTGCGGGTGGTGGGTCCACAGGGTGGCTGCTCCATGCTGTTTATTCGGGCTGTTTTTTCTGTGACCAACATTTTAATGTGAAAAGGAGCCCTGTTTTTCCCTTCTGACATTCATTGCCGCATTGTACACACTCTCCTGCAGAAACACACTGATCACACATATGAAATATCTCTTTGTATTGTGATCCATCATCATTCCTTCACTTCCTCACAAGGAAGAGAAAAGTTGAATATAAGGCGGTGATGACTGGGAAAGACTGTGTGATAGAGTAATTAGTAACTGTTAGCTAAAGTATGATTGATATCAGTCTGGACCATGTTAACGATAATAGAGAGCTCCAAAAATAGCCTTTATGCCTGTAAATCACTGAGTAACTGTTTCCTTGTGGTAAAACATGACGTCAGTCCAGATGGAGATAACACAAGACCGGCACGTAGCTCCCCCCAAAACAAAGGCTTCATGTCACTTTCGTCAAGGAATGTCTTTGAATGGCCCGATACACGTGGATTGCACAGTAATGTGAAGGCAGTGTGGGTCACAGAGTCATGGGTTTTTCCCTTCAGTTAAGTTTTGATAAGAATGTAAGACAACATGTAATATAATAAATCGTAAGATGCTGACAAAGAAGGAGTTTCCAGCAGGTGCTCTGTGCAGTATATAATTGTTGCCACAGAGGGGCTTGTCAGCATCCAGAGACTCACAGAGAGAGGAAGAGAAGACTGAACACCAGTAAGGTATGGAGACAATAAAAACTCACTGCAAAAGTTATAGTTAATACTGACAAGTGTAGTAACTTTGTGTGTGTGTGTATGTGGGCCCCCAAGGCATCAGCAGTGAAACTGTCTAAAAGAGATGACTGCATCCACAACTAAACTGCGGGAGATCTACAAGCAGCAAGGCTTCCTGTCCGTGCTGCCTGTGTTGAAGGAGACTGAGCTGATTGAAGCCAAGCATGCCTTTTCTGAGCTGGAGAAGGAATTGGGTAAGTACTGGAAGATGAAGGAGGGAACGGATGAAAAGGGACACGTTGGTTTGGTAATAGATAGAGCTGCACTGACACTGACACTGATATCACATATCGACGCCATACTGACTCAAATAGCTGGAACGGCTATCGGTGACAATAGGCTGATCTAGAATCAGATACCATCATTTACATTTATAACAATTCAGTGTCCCAGTGTCTTCCACACAGTGAAGCATACAGTTGATTAATAAAACACTGGTATTGGATCGTCACATCTTCCAATACCCAAAACCCTGGTATCGGGACTGAAAAGTCAATGCATTGCTTGTTAATGAGACGGGATGCAGAATTAAGTGAAATAAGATAGTGATAATTAGCACTATTAAGACCAAATTCGGATATGAGGAATGTGGTTTTGGTGTACAATATAGACTGTAAATCAAAATGTACGATTGCATGCTGTTTCCTGTTTAGAGTATGTCCATCTTTTTTTCGTTCCACATAAAACTAAATGAAATGGGGTAGTATATGCTGTTACCCTATTCGTCAGTGAACTGGTTTGTTCTGTATGTGTCCAGGAGAGGAGTATACCCAGTACAGCCTCCACAATGTTCACCTTCAGTATCCATGGGTGAGGGGCCTAACCAAACACCCTCAAATCATACAAGTGGTCAAAGCCATCCTGGGTCCTGACGTCATCCTGCTGGACTCCCGCTTCATCTGTAAATATCCAACACTCAAACCTGACATCCAGAAGACTGAAGAAGGGGAAATCAAACCTGGTATTCCATATGTGGCCTGGCACCAGGATATGAGGTAGATTCACATACTGAGAAAACACTGAGAGGTTTTGTTTTGCTTTGTTTTGTTTTCTCTAAGGGTAATTGTTTGGTTCACAGGTATTGGGGTATTGCTGGTGGTCCTGTTCTCTCTGTGTGGCTCGCTTTAGACGACTCGCTGCAAGAGAACGGCGCCCTTCAGGTCATCCCAGGTACGTCAGCTACTCATTTCTGCTCCTCATGCAAGTTTATGGCCTCTATGGCCATTGTCCTGGTTAAATCTTTTCATAATCCTGATTGCTGAAATTATTCAAAATGATTTAATAGTATAATAAAAGATGTGCATTTACTTCACACAATACATATAGCTGTGTCACCAAACAAATATAGTTCAAGAGCCTACCTGGGACAACGCATTACACAAATGAGTAGCTGGATGCTCCAGAATGTTCTCTAGTTAAATAAGGATAAAACTGAAGTCATTGTTTTTGGGGCCAATAAATAAAGATAGTTCTTACCTCAATAGTCTCAGCTTGAAGAGTAAAAATCAAGCTATAAACCCCATCGTTATTCTGGATTCAGACATACATTTCAGTAGAATAGCTAAGACATGACGTGACACTTACTGCTTTCTAATTGAAGCTGAAGACATACATATTTATTAGTGCTTTTAATGAGTTTGTTTTATTGTTTTTATTCTGTGTGCTTTTTTTATTGTTTGGTCTAAAATTGTTTTACTCTGTGGGCTTGTGTTTGCCATTTGTTTCTTGTGCTTTTACCTGTGTAATCTTTAATGTACTTGGGGTTGTCTTCAGCTATGAAATGGCGCTATATCAGGGGTGGGCAAACTTTTTGGCTCGGGGGGCCACATTGAGTTTTAAAATTCGACAGACGAGCCGGGCCAGTATCGGATGAATGGAGTGTTTGTGTGAACTAATATAAATTACAAGTAAAAGCCATGACCTAAAAAGTAACTTGCATTTAATTTCAGTGGGAACAGTGTTGTTGGTCATCCTTTTTAACCAGTGCGTCAACGTTTGGTGTCAGGTTGGTTGTGGCAATTCTCGAACAGATCTGAGGTGTTCATCAGTTAGCTGGGATCTTACACGGTATTTTTTTGATGAACAGCTGTTTGTGTGGAGTGTCTTCCGTCTCTTCCTGTTTCCTTCACTTACATTCCCCTGGGCCCTAAGCCCCTCCCTGTACAGCTTCTTATCACCTCTTTGCACCAATGTGTACAAAGGCAAGTGTTTATATAGCGGCTATATAAACACATTTGCCTTGCCTCTGTTGGACCTTAACTGATTACAACCAGCCTGAAAGCTTTTTTTGACTCCCACCAAAGATTATAAAAAAGGTCTTGGATTCACATCAGTGTCGAATAAAATAAACAACCTGCTTTATAGAGTGGAACTTTTTACATTGATGCCTTGTAGGTAGCCACTGTGCTGGCATGTTGCCCCATCGCCAAGCTACTCGCCCTGGAAACATGCTGTCAGTCAATCAGGAGATCCCAGAGCAGCTGGTGCAGGCTGATGAAGCTGTGTTTTGCCCTCTCCTAGCTGGGCAGATGTCGGTGAGTTTATTCCCTGTTTGTTAAAGATGACAGGTTTATGAATGGGTTTGAGTTAAAGAAAAGGTGGATTAACAGGGATTTGTTTTGATAGATTCATGATGGACTCCTTGTCCATGCCAGTGATGCCAACACTTCCCAGAGGAGGCGCTGTGGGTTTGTGATCCGTTATGTTTCTACCTGTGCATATCCCATTCAGGTGAGACAAAAATGAATATAGGTTTATTGCTATATTCCATGCAGATTATAATTTCACACACTCGCACTGTGTATTGATCCTGATTCTTTTTGTTGCCGGTAGGATCCTGATCGTCCCAGGAAATTTGCTGCAGCTGTGTTGGCCTGTGGAACGGATCTGTTCAATCATTTCTCCAACAAAACCACATGAATACGTCTTTGGTTCTTCCTATAAGAATAGATACTTGTACACATTACTGGAATATTTCATACTGAGACCAAATGTCTATTCTATGGTCTTTGTATAAATAATGTTGTTTATCGAAATGAATGGCAGATTTCTATAATAGTTTGTACTAAATTGTATAGTATTGAAATGTTGCAACTGTTAATGGATTAGCATTTAATCAAAAATTGTTCTAATGTTAAGAATATGTGGACATTACATTGTGCCATATTTACATTTAACTGGACTGTTTTAAACTGCTCATAAATATACCCAAATATTAATTGTATTTTCAAAATACAATGACACTGATCACTCAGTGAATCTCCATTCAACCCAGTCCTTTTAAATATAGAATATGGAGGACATCTTGACATTTTTACTGAAGGTAAATCGATTAAGTTATGAAATATGATCCAAAAGTGGAGGTATATTTTTCATTACTAGGATTTGGTAATACAAATAGAAATACTTCAAAATCCAGCACTTCAATCATTTAGTCACAGCTTGTTTCAGTGTGAAATCTGTAAAATATAAATATAAGTCTTTAAGTTTGTCGATTTGCATATTTGATTCACAAATTGTCAAAATGTAGCACAATGTCATTCAGAATATGAATAGGTATTCTTGTTATTGTTCAACAGTACTTAATTGATTTTTGTGGATTATACTTCATGCACGATTTCACAAATAAGGAATAAAAGTTTTAACAACACCAGAAGCAACAATTGTGTTACTGTATACACTTAAACCCACCTTTTTAAAAATGGTGGGTTGTTGGTATTATTTAAACCTCACTAACAGACAAGCAAAAGGAAAACCAGTAAGAACGCCAGTATCTAAATCACCTTAAAATGTATTAATGTAAGGGTTTGGTGGGTGAACTGTTTACTGCTCCTTCACAGGCAGCTCCTGCTTGGCTAACATACTGTACAGGTAGAAGTCACGTGGATCTCTGCCTGGACAATGTCTTGAAACTTAGAGACAGATTTACAGAGACACAAGGTGGACTGAAAAATCATCTGCCCTGTGTAATCATTCAACCAGTGAGGACTCTTCCTTGTTAGGTACAAAACACAATATAGAGTATATATATGAGTATGTGAGCTTAATATAAGTATTTATGCATTTCATTGTTTTGTTTTTGAATGAAGAATAACGCAAAATTGTTATTGAGTTACTTTTATTGAAATTCTCAAAGCAACACATTGATAATACAACATCAGAAAAATGCTCTCATGTATAACTTCATATTAGACATGCCTGTGCAGAAAATCGCAATTGGTTTTCAAGTAAATACAAGCATCCAGTATATAATTAGAGACTTCTTAAGCCAGTTTCAGTGTCTCTTTAACCATGACTCCAATTCCATCAAAAACGTTATGAATGGGAGCATTGCACATGAATGCAGAGGTGGTGACCAGTTTATTTTTGACATCAACGTGTGCTTTCTCCACATCCGTGTTGACGTGTTTGCAGCCCATCTCCTTCATAGCGCCTGCTGTCTGAGCATACGGCCACCTAACGGTGAAAAGAGAAGGAAAGTTAGAGTGGTAGAAGTATGTATTTATACTTTATGTACTGATTATGACAAACTATGTCACACACTTTTCACACTCTTTTTCCTGTCCCACAGTGAGCTCACAGCCGGGCAGGATTTTGGCGGCGAGGATGGAGGCGATGCAGCACATGCCCAGCGGCTTTCTGGCTTTGTGGAAAGCCTTAATGATCTTCTCTACCTGTGGCTGGATGGTGAACTCCTTGTTCTTCACTGCCCAGTCACTGAGGTTCTTCGCCACACCAAAGCCCCCTTTGAATGAGAGCACCCAGGATTCATTAAGAATATTACAATTTTGGAAGTGAAAAAGAAAAAGGAGAATATTTGACATGTTGAAATGTATTAATGGCTGGTTCAGCCGAACCTGGGATGATGACGGCATCAAATGCTGTAACATCTAACGTGTCCAGATCGGTCACGTCACCCCTGGCAATGCGAGCACTTTCCTGCAGGATGTTTCTTTTCTCCTCTGTAGGTTTCCCCACACAGTGATTAACCACATGCATCTGATCTGCATTCGGAGCAAACATCTGTACCTGAAAGGAAGCACGTAAAACTTAGCTTTGGACTGGGGGATCTTCTTAGAGTTGTTATTTAGGCCATTTCTTAGTGGGTTAGGTTTATGTCAATGCTCTTTTATTGCTAAAATAGATAGAAACATATCCATGAATGATGCAAAGCCCCTCTTAATGTGACTGAATCCAGAAATTTGACATAAAATATCAGTAATAAGTTTACAGCTGATCTTTTCTTACTTTCGCTCCAGCTCGACTCAGATGGACGAGGACAGCGGAGGCCTCATGGACCTCTGTGCCGTCATAGACTCCACAGCCTGAGAGAATAACTGCAACACGCTTTGACATGGTTCCTACAAAACAAACACATGCATTTATCGAGTGTAATATCACCTTTTTGTTTCCCTATTAGACATGAAGAGCGCTGCTTCTGAGCCTCCTGTTGCTCTTGTTTACATAAAGAATGCACAGAGCCAGGGGACAAAGGAGTAGCTGCTGCTGCCAGTTAACACTGTTGTCACCTAGATAAAGTTACAGAAAGAGGTTGGAGTCTGTTGCTCAAGACTCCATTGCTATAAATGTATATGCATTACTGTAAAAAGAATATGTACCAGACACCTTTCAAGCATTTCACTATTTCCCTCATGCATTTTTAAATCTTCTTTGCATTTTATCAATAAATTGCCGTCTAAAATCAACATGTTTGTTCCTAAAATATTAGGAGAAAGCATTGGTTAAGTACAGACAGCAGAAGTGAAGACAATGTAGCTAGATCCCACCTTGTAGATGTAGCGTAGTCGGCCTAGATGTGAGTGGTAGAGCTGTTCAGCGGAGGTGTGCTGACTGAACTGTGAAGTAGACTCTTTATAGTCCTGCCTGCCGCTCTGTCTCCTCCCACAACCTGCCTACAGGTAACCAGGAACACGGTGTGGTTGGCATGGCCAGCTTTTGAGATAGAATGCTGAGTCATTCCTCTCAGTAAGTTTTCAATGAACAATAACAGTGACGTAATGAGGGAACTAAATGAAATGATTCATTTATTTTTACTGGGTTGTAATCTTTAGAGAATATTTTGATAGATAACGATGCATTAATTATGACTGGGCTAGATAAATACTGAAAACTAATAACAGGTGCTTAGAGTATAACATGGTCATATATAAATGTGAAATTATCGCATTTGGGTAACACAAGAACAAATTGAGTTGCTATTTAGACTAAATTGAGATTAAAAACACCTGGTCTACTGTAGCCTACAGGAGTATTTTATCGCAGTCATCCTGAATCTCCTCGTACATATAATGTGTCATAATGACGAGGTTCTCAATGAACGCACTTTCTACAATACTCGCGGGATCATTTTTGGAGTCGGGTTTTTTCCCCTCCAATGTGTCCTCGTGCCTGTCTCAGGTTTTTCGCAGCGAGGCGCTGCCCTTCTCAAATGCAGTCTATGGGTGCAGCTCCGTTTTTCCTGCGTGTTGCTGACGTCACACACCGCTCTAGACTATAAAGTTCAGCCTCACGTCTTCAGAAATCAACTCCGACTATGGCTCAACACTCGCTGCATGTGTCCATCGGCATACTGGGCATCTCTGGCGGTAAGCTTTTCATTTCATACGCGAGTGACTCCTTTTTTTTTTTTGCATCAATTGTAGGCTACTAAGCAGCCATAAGCCTACGTCGAACTGTTATTTTATCATTACTTATTATTATGAAAGTGACACCCTCCTTGATTTTGGTATCAAAATTATAAAAGTATGTTGTAGCCTATAGTCTACGTTTTCAAACCTAAAAAACTCAAATGAGTAGCCAAACACTGATATCAGATTCGTGGTAATCATCAAATGGCATGGTATGTACTGTGTGCTAAAAAGTAAAGTGACATCATTTTAAAAAGCATGTTGTTGACGTTTGAAGCTGTAGATACTTAAACTGAAACCTTTAGAAGAGCCTCCTGCTAATATCAGAAAGCATCTTTGTTCTTAAAACTAATCACACCAAATGTCTGAAAATAATAACCTGCTCTTGCTATAGAGGTGGCAAAATCGCATCCAAATTTTCAACAAAATGTGAAAGAGAAAGAAAAAAACATGGTACTTTGTTGTTGTTTGTTTTTGATTAATTACCTGGCAAACGATTTTCTTTCTGACTTATAGGTTCTCTCCTGCTTTTGGTGAATGACTATGCCAGCTCACCTGAAAAAGACCTCATCCCCCATACTGCACTGGGGATTGTGCTCATCATCATTGCAGTCCTCTTAGCTTATGCAGGTTGGATTTGATGACTGCTTATCACAAGATTGAATTCATTAATGTGTAGTATTGGTTGATTTGTATTTGTTTGTAAAATAATCCTCTCTTCTGTTTCCCCCTGTATCTTAGGCATCTCTCACAGTCTGTCCCACGCCCAGCTGTTTTCCTCTCTGTGTCTGACTGTTTCTGCCCTGTGGTGTGGTTCAGGTCTGGTGTACATCCTGGTGGGGCAGGCGGTGGTGCCGCCTACAGAGCTGAGATCCTCTCTAGTCCCCGGCCTGGCAGCATTTACCTTAGCCCTGCTTGTCATAGGCAGCGTAGCAGTTGTAGCAAAGAAAGCAGTTATATTTATCATAGCTGTCGGCATAAGTTTAGCATGTGCCCATCAAATCGCCGGTTTGTCAGCTACAGGTTTTGGTCAGTCTGCAACAGCTGCCAACTACCTTCTGGTCTGTGTGGTTTGTGCTTACTTTGGTTTTGGACGTCTGCTGTACACTATCACTCATGGTAAATTGGAGCTTCCAGGAACGGGCCTGAGGAGAAAAGCCGAGCTGAAGACAGAGCAGAACCAGGGGTGTGGTGATGCAGTGTCAGTAGGTCTGGTGATGAACTTGCTGTCCGCCTCTGTGTTAGTCTGTCCTCTGTTAGGGGTGGTCCCCCAGCTTTCCGTCGGTCACGTCCCCTGGCTGTGGACAGCGGGAGTCTTCCAGCTTGGCATGTGTATCCTCTTCTACCGGGCCATGGACACACTGGCTGCCACGTTTTACGGCTTCACTGCTCTGCTGAAATTTGCAGAGGGCTACAGCGCTCTCCTATCATCCTTAGTTCAGCCGTACTCCCCTGTTCCCTTCCCCGTTGTCTTCTCTGTGCTTTTCTCCATCCTGGCTCTGTTCAGTTGTCAGAAGAGCTTGCTGGAGGGGGTCTACCAGTTATTCTTTGCAGCTTATTGTATTGCCATCGCAGCCCAGCCTCAAGGCTTCTTCCAAGGAGGCACCCAGGGTGTTCAGGGAGCTATATTTGTGTTCACTGCCGGCATGCTTTTTATTACCACATTCAATATGGTTTCCACTACAATGATTCCTACCGGGCGGGGATATTTTAATGCTTTAGTGACCAAGATGCAGGGTCTTACTCTCAGAGCCCATGATAAAGATCTACATGTACCTCACCTGGGCTACTCCAAGTATGCTGATGCAGAGGTGTTAGGCCACGCCTGTAATGTGCTGGCTGCTTTTGCCATAACAGCCACAGTTTATGACAATAATCCTCTGTCTGTGCTGATTCTGCCCTGGGTGGTGGTGGCTGGAGGGATACTCCAGCTGCTCTGTGGTTCCGTAGCTTTTGCTCGAGGTAAAACCTTTGAGAGCACAGTTTTTATTCTGTATGGGATGATGTGGTCAGTGTGGGGTTTGACACGATACGGCGGCTTTTACGGTGAAACCCGAAGCTTTAACGTGGCTGTCGGGATCATTAGCTTCATGGTGTTTAATTGTTTAGTGACAGCTGCAGCGCTGGTTGTAAGTGTCGCTTGGTTTGCTTACGCCCTGACCTTCCAGCTCATCCTCATCAGCTTCCTGCTAGATGCAGTAGGTGCACTGCCTTATGGTTATGACATAGGAGTCACCATCATTTTTGGTCTGGTCAGTTTTTATTGTTTCCTGGCGCACATTTTTAACAGCACCTTCCAGTCCCCGCTGATACCCTTAGGAAAACCTCTGGTCAAGTTAAGTGGGGTTGGGGGAGGCGCAGATATCTGTCCGCATGTACCCGCCCGCAAGGCCTCTTCTGTCCACCAGATTGCAGGTGAGAATATGTTAAAGAATGTTGAATTTTTAAAATACACAATTGTTCACATACTTGATATTCATTTTATTTTTCCTATTCTTCCATCTGCAGAAATCATGAAAAATGGTGGCATATGTGGAATGCCTACTGACACCGTCTATGTGCTGGTGGCAGCTTGCAACAGGCCCGACGCAGTCATCAAAGCTTACAAGTGAGTTTCCATTTTCACAAGAGTGCAATTATTTGCATTCTTCTATTGCTTCGATCTCTTTACGCTCTAATTGCTGTGCTTGACTTCAGGGTGAAGAAGCAGGCGCAGGACCGCCCCATGTCCCTGTGGATCTCCTCCATCAAACAGTTGGAGCCGGTGCGACACCTGCTGAGCCCTCTGCTCCTTGACTTCATGGAGGCCGCGTGGCCCTCCTCCATTAGCATGGTTATACCCAGAGGTAGGTGTGGGTTTATGGATGCACATTTGCACGAGTTACATTTTGTGTGCATGTCTGTGTGGGTGCCTCATGTTGCATGATGGGGGTTTTATGAGTATCATATTGGTTGCTTGGCTTTCACAGGCCCATGGATGGACACCTTTGGTTTAGGAGATGCTGCTAAACACATAGGGACGCCACAAAGCATTGCAATCAGAAACCCAGACTGTTCTGTGGCCACACATCTCATTAATCTGGTAAGGGCTGTGGAATGAAACGTTTCAAATGGCAAAGTGAGTGAAACTAGTCAGCAGGCTCTGTAGTAAATACAAGAAACTTTTTTCTTGCAGGTGGGGCCTGTGGCTGTAACCTCAGCCAACCCTTCAGGCGAGGCAGACACAACTCACCACAACCAAGTTTACGCCAAGCTGGGAAAAAAGGTGAGGACAATATTTCAGTGTTAATAAATACAAGAGGCACTGGTGTTTTTATTTTTGCAGCAAACTACATATGCTTTTTGCTCGGTTAGGTTGATGGAGTGTTATGTGATGGACCATCCCCAGAGAATATTGCATCTACTGTGGTTGACTGCACTAAGATTGAAACAGGGCATATTGGTTTCTTCAGAGTGGGTCTCATTCCTAAATCCAAGGTAATATCCCTTCTTGTTCTATCCATTCTACACACACAGTTTCAGTTTAATGTATGCTTACGCTAATACCTGTTGCTTTTATTTTTGTGCTTTGAAGGTTCTTACTATATTTGAGGAGGTTCAGAAGCGGCACAGACATGGGCAGACAAATCCTGCTTTTGAATATGATCAGTATCTGCCGGATACACAAAGAGACAAAAGTTCAGGAGAAGACGACACAGTACAGCCAGGAAGTGGAAACTCAACACCATCCACAGTTGCACTGTAACAAAGTCCAGTCCTCAGAAATGGGTCATAGTATCTGTACATTGCTTGTAAGTGCTGCCAAATGCAACCTAAATTCAGATTCAGTACACACATCGGAAATAGTTGCCACACTATTGTTTGAGGAGGTCTCAGGTTCCACCGCACAGGGACAACCCCACAAGCTGTTCATGTGCTGGTGTGTTATGTTGAGCAAACTGATATTTTTGTTATGTTTACTTGTTTATCTGAATGTTGCATATTGGTGTGAAATTCTATATATTGAGCACACAGGCTCTAATGCACTGTCACTTGTAAAATAACTAGCTGCTACACTTTAATTTGTGTTTTGTACTGTATGTCATATATTTAAAATTGTAATTGTCTTTTAGATACATGGATGTAATTTATGTACTTTTTCATGATGAAATATACATTCAATGATTTCCAAAAACGGCTGCAAATATTTATACGATACTATTTTAATATTTTATTGACTGTGTTTTACTGTATTCTATGAAAAAATACTCATTATTACATTTACAGATCATTGCCCAATATGAAAGTTACCTGATTGATTTAAGAAGTCTTAAAACTGAGATTGAAATGTAGCGCTTAACAAATAATAAAAGTTGTGAATCAGTATGGCCCTAAAAAAAAAAATGCTTTAAAGTGGTTTCCCGTCATTTTTCTTGATACTTGTAACATCTGTGACCATTTGGTGTCAAACCACAGTAAAATATGTGTCACCAAAAAAAAAGCTTTTCGGATTAGAAACCAGCTTTAATTTATGTATCTGTAAATAATCAGTAAAGAAAAAAAAAAAAAAAAAAAACTACTGGGAAGAAAATATTTGTGGAGTTTATTTTTGTGTTACTTTTTTTTAACTGTGCATTAAGGGCAATTTTATTTGAAAATGCAAACAAGTAAATGTATAATGAAACATAGCCACATAAGTAAGTATATGTTGCTTACTTAAACTTTCAAGTACAATGAGCTTTGTTCCAAAAAAGGAGATCAAGAAGAAACAAAAGAAAAAAAACACCACCTTTTTCATATTGTCTGCACATTTAAATTTTAAGCACATGTGTTAGCAGTGAATCGTATATTCAAGAAACATCCAAAGACAAAATAAATGTGATACAATTAGAAATAAATATGAAACAATGTGTGTTGGGTGAAAGAATCACATAAATAATGTCTGATGCGTGACTTAAGTGGAAAATGTCTCAATATTTAGTCAGCCAGCAAAGACACTTCTCTATTCTCTATTTTAAGGTAGAGAGACAAGACGGCAGCAAGATGATAGACTAACGATGTAATTGTGTCGTTGTGCTATTGGATAGAAGAGAGCAGCTGATCAGCTGATATCATGATTGACAGCCCCAAACAATGACAGCAAGGACAGTATGTGTGAGCATGTGTAAGAGGAGTAAATGGCAGATTCATGAGAAATAAACAACAGGCCTAGGCATGTAAAAGCATTGTCTTTCTGACTGAACTCGCACTAGAGTTTCATTTGCTGAGTGTGGTACTTAGTTTACCGATCACTTTCACGGGGTAGATTGTGTTGGATGCTGAACTGAAATCAACAAACAACATTCTGATTTCGGTGTTATTATTTTCAATCTAATGAAGGCTTTTGCTGTTGGAGCTCAATCTTTTTAGTACATTTTCCCTATTTGTGTTCCTCTGGGTTAGGTTCAATCATGTAATTAATACAATTACAAATTGAGTCAGGATTAGGGTTACACGATCTGCAGACATGCGAAGAACACAAGGGTTTTTGGCCCATGATAGGTAATAATAAACACTAATCTGACTAGGAAAGTGCCACCCGAAGGAACAACAACCTAAAACCTAAATGAAACTTAAAACTTTGTATTAGCCTTATGCATAAAACATATGCATAAGGTCATATGCTGTTTCCTGATTATTATGTATGTCAGTAAATGCTTTGTATATCTGTTTTCCTGAAAATAGTTCCTGAGCCTCACTAGATGTATAATCAATATTTGCTCTCTCACTTGATAAATGAAAAAAACTATTACCAGGAATGAAAGTGAGACACAAAGAACCACACAGGCCAGTGGAGGGTTCCAGTAAAGTGTTACTTCCTCTCTTTAGCAGTCAATGAGTAAACAGGCTATCTGAACTGGATTCTACAGCGTGCCCTTGCAAATTGTGAACAACAGTGACAAACAACCTGTGGTGCCGAGTGAGATGACATCTGCACACAGGGCCTTTGACCGTAACATCTCACAATGGGGATAATGTCAGTGTTTGTGTATTTACACGGGCAGGTAACAGTGCTCATAACTTATGTATAAATAATTGTGTCTGTGTTGACTCTCCAACCCGCTCTTTCATTTTCAGACTGCTGATATGTTTCAATGCCACCAGAGTATCTTTGAGGAAATGCATGAAGAAATAACACTCAAGATGATGAATGTTGGTAATGGTGTTCCTTCAAAGTAATTTATCTATCTTTTGGAGCCTAATCAACACTTTGAAGGTTTAATGAGTCACTGTATCAAACTTTAGATCAAGGTGTTTTTCCTGGTAATAAGTTAATAAGTTAAAGCAGTTTCTTTGTTTCATTATCAACCTTTGTATAGTCTTCATTGGGGAAAATCACAAGGGTAAGTTATACAGTGCAGATTTGAGATACTTCCTCTTGGTGATGTATGTGGAAAAATCCAAAGATGTTTTTTACAGATATCTTTGACGGGCCTTTTTAGATGATGTGTCAGGAAAATGATTTATTTCAATGAAAAGATGGGTTTATTTGTTTAACATTTATTATTTTTTAAAGTTATTTTAAAGTGATGTACAAGAAAAATAAAATGTATTGCTATAAGAATCGTTTTTTGATTAGATTTTGAAATTATATGACTGAGGATTTTTATTAAATGGTTATATGATGCAGTATATACTCTGTTTGAAACACGTATAGTAATTATATATTTTGTCCTCTCATTAAGACCAAAATAACACTTTTTATTTCCTTGATGAGAGGAATATGTTAAGATGCAATTTGAACGGCCGAAAGCCAATTCTTTCTTTGAGCAGATTTTTCCTTTGTTTTTTCAACACGACATCAACATTTGATCGCTGGTTCATAATACAATATGCAAGTCAATTCCAGTGGGTCAAGTTGCTGGCTTTGTTTGCAAACCACGCAGTATGGAAATGTAGACAAATAGACCAACAGAAGAGAACAAGTAACATGTAACTGAACCCTGAAAGCACACATTTTCTGGGAAGGGCCTGAAAATATAACTTCTTGTACAAAAGAATTTCTATATGTGGGAATTTCCGCACATGCATAATGACACCATTTACAACCAATGCATCCAAAACACTTTAAAAGATGAGAGACATTGACTCCAACCTGTCTTTAAGGATTGCACCACTTTATCAAAAAACATCCTATGAGCATAATGACATCACACATGATGAAAATTGACATGAAAAAATGTATTAAATATGTCATGGTATGTAATGCCATGAAAAGATTTTGTCGGATGCTAAGCATATTGTCATAACAATAGCATTATATAGTATTTCATAGGAAATTAGATAAAGACAACCATCATAGAATAAAAATGATAAGTATGTCCAAAAAAGTATTTAAAAAAGTCATAGTATAGTATGTCAAAAAAAGTCATAGTATAGCATGTTGAAAGAAATAATACAAATTCATAAAGTAGTATGTCAAAGAAAGTCTATAGAAATGCTTTTGAAAATGTTTTCGAAAATGAATCAATTGAAAATTATATTATTGATGACATCATTACTTTTATTACTATTTTGGGACACAAACTTTACACATCAATCAAATTCATTGTTTGCACAGTGAACTTAAATACAGCTCATTTTTCAATTCCACCCTTAATATTAACATAAGTGCAAAATGCATGTCAACATACAGTATAATTAAAATGAATAAATACATATTTACAGATTGGTTTTAACATTTACAGCAGTCAGTTCATTAAGATATTTTGGAATTCGTTTAGGCTGCGTGGTGGTGTAGTGGCTAGCACTGTCACCTCACAGCAAGAGGGGCGCCAATCCGGGCGGTCCTTGTGTGTGGAGTGTGTGTTGTTCTCCCCGTGGCAGCGTGGGTTTCCTCCCACAGTACAAATACATGCAGCTTAGGTTATTTAAAGACTCGAAATTGCCCGTAGGTGTGAATGTGAATGTTGTCTGTCTCTATATGTGCCCTGCGATAAACTGGTGACCTGTCCAGCGCCCCACGACCTTGAATATGATAAGCGGTTTGGATAATGGAATGGAAATTGATATTCGTTTAACTAACCTAAAATGAAAGTCCTTACAGTTTTGTTTTTGACAAAATGATACAGCTGAGACACTGTATATTCACTAAGTTGTTGTTCATCAGCTGAGGTTCTTCATGTGTCAAGTGTCCATCAAGAGCATTGTGAGCAACAAATGGTTATTTTATTGTAACATTAGCCAAGACATCCAGTTATACTCATCCACAAGCAGCAATACACACACCATCACTCTTTCACATATTGTTGATAAAGTGTCTCTGAGATTGTTGAATGGAAATGGGGGAGCTGAATTTGCTGATATGGAACATGTCATGAAAAGGCTCTCTGAGGGACAGCAATGAGATACAAGACAATCACACCATAGTGCTTTTCACTCTGTCGAATATCTGTCTGACTTTTACTGCAGGGACACAGCCTTCTCTCACAATGGCGATGGTCCCTGTGGAAACAGTGAGATAGGCTTGAGTTAGAAAGCACCTGTGAAAATACAAAAAAAGAAAGAACGTACTGGGAATATCTTTGCGTCCGACCTTCATCAATCTTCAGGCAGTTGACCACGGTTGAAGCAACAACTTCATTTGAGTCCCCGTCACACAGAACCCCTTGGATCTTGTGTCCCAGTCGACTGTGGCAAAAAAGATAGTAGGAGAGGGCGTTTGAGTGAGTTTGCATGTAGTTTCTCCCCATTTGCATAATATGACACATTTGTCACTCTGCTACACAAGACACACTGAGATTAGTTTGCTGTAAAAAGAAAATGTAAGGTCCGATAAGAGACACTGACTTGATGACCATGGTGTGGTGAGTGCTGTCTGGCTCTCCACTGGGATTTGCTGACGTAATAGCAAGAGGCCCGGTGAGGTCACACAGGTGGTTCGTCACAGTGTGGTCAGGGACTCGGATCATGATGCTGTCCTTGGTGCCAACACGATCATAAGCAGGTCCCACTCCTATAAAAAGATGAATTAAAAAGGTGAGGTGTATACTGGTAATTTAGATTTATAGGCTGAAACAGTTAACTGAATCCAGAAACACAGCGTTCAAACTGAACAGTTTACCTAGTTTGAACAGCCAGTCTCCTTTGCTAACGATGCAGCTGATGCCTCCTGGATACACATTCCTCATAAACTCCCAGAGTAGAGGGCTGAAGGGAGGCTTGGCTGCCACTAGCTGCTCCACATTGGAGATGCAAATGCAGATGGGCTTCTCTGCTGGTCGGTCCTGAATGAGGACACAGATCACAGGTTGATGAATTTTACCTCAAAGTCAAAATGTTGAAACTAGATTTAATGATCTGTGTATATATTTTCATTCTTACTTTAATATTGTAGATTTTCTCTATAGCTCTAGGATTCTTGCAGGAGGCAGCGAGGGCATACACAGTGTCTGTGGGAACACCACACACTCCTCCTTCCTCCAGAAGGCCAGCAATCTTCATGAGACCACTGGTGTGTTGTGAATAAGTCACAGGACAGGGTAGTTCTGGAGCAGACTCCTGCTTCACTTCCTCCTGAGAGAGGGACATTTTTGTGAAAAGGATATAATATGACAGACCATTATTGAATTAGCAGAGGTATGCAAAATATGTCTTATGTGGTTACCTTTATTAAGGGAGGGCCCATAGGTAGCAGCCTCTGTGAGAAGATGCAGTTCACCAGTGATGCCAGAGCTCCATATATACAAATGATTGAAAGTAGCGCAAGCATAGCAACTGTAAAGAAAATGTTGTCACAATGTTTAAATAACTATATGGATTTACAAATAATATTCTCATTTCAGCCTATTCCTATATTTAAAAACCTAAAAGAAAAATTGTCCATGCATACTTTCTAGTTGAAGTGGCAGTCGTTGCAGAGTGGAAAGCAGTAAACAGACCAGAACAACCTCCATGACTGTTGTTAGAAACAACAAAACCAGGTTCCTATAGGCAGCTGATGTAGACAATGGAAGAAACAATACAAGCTCAAAAACTAACAAATTCATTCAATTTATTTGAACTCTATTGAAAAGAAAGAATCTTGTTGACCTTACCAATCAGCATGAGGAAAGCATTAATGACCAGAAGAGCAATGGCTCCTGCTGTGAAACCGTAAGCTGTCTCTGTGGAAAACTGAAGCAGGTTACCTAGAATACAAAAATGTGGGATCAAAATTTTGCGTGATTTAGTCGCACCCAGTCTCCATTAAACATATTTGTACTGACATACCTGCAAACTTAAACCAGGTCCAGGTTGCCCATACAGCGACATAGATGGATGGGATGACTGACCCAAAACGACCAGCTCCTGTGACTTGCAGTCGGCTGACATAGGCCTGGATGATGGCTCCAGAGATGAGGACCCAAGGGACAGTCAGATTAAGGAAGGCAGGATTCGTGCTAGATGAACTTCCAGTAATAGCTGAGAGGGCTGCAACTCCATTTAAAAGGTAGAACAGGGCGTCTGAAGCCTGGTCAGTTTGGGGCAGCGCCTCCTGGTCTCCTTGCTCGGCCCTGCAGCATTTCAAAGCCTTCTTCAACTGGTCAGAGGAGATGGGCTGTGGTCCTACAGGGATTAGAGACTTCTCTGCTATGGTGTTGATAAGACGCGCAAAAGTACCATACAGGGAGACTGCGGTGAACAGGGAGCAAGCTACCCCAAAGAAGATGTAGTATCCCTGGAGAGGAATCTGAGGGACTGTTGAGAGTGTGAGCAGGACAAACAGCATGTTGTGGATGAGCTCCAGGACATCTGTGTTAAGGCTTCCCACGCAGAGCACCACGCCTGCCACCACAAAGAACCAATCTCCCACCATTGCTTCCCTCCCTGAGACTAATTTACTGTCCCCCACAACTAGAACAGATAGCACGAACTCATCCCAAGCCTTGATCAGCCAATATGTGGCATGAAGACCAAACTTAGTCGTGTGGTAGCAGTCTTGGCGCAGATGGGCATAGTAGCTGGAGAACAGCTGGGCAACTGTGATGATTGAGAGCCATGTGGCTCCTAAGCCAAAGGACTTCATGTACCCAAAGCTGTAGAAAGCAAAGATCAAGGGGGCAACGGTGTCACAGAAGAAACCCAAGGCCATGGGCTCTGCATATTTTGTGTTTTTCTTCTTCTCTTGGCCAATGCTCTGGGCACTTCCTGAGTTGGTGGTCCCTAGGAGGAGAACATTAAAGAGGGGGGTTCCGAAGCCTTTGAGGACTAGACGTTGAGTCAGACCTTTGATGAGCAGTGCAGCTGAACCGTAGATGGCAAATATCAAAATGAGCAATTCCAGAACCCCAGCGACCACGAGAGCCCAGGAGCTTGATACCAGACCCACTGCTTCAAAGATTAAGGTGGCTGTAATGGCTCCAAAAACAAAAGGCATGATGTAGTTGACCGTGGCAGAGCAAAACGCAAGGATAAAGGACAGAAGAACATAGGGGACCAGACCAGCAATGGCTGACTCTTTTATGGACATGAATAAAGGATAAGTTGTCTCTGTGGTGGCATTCAGAGACATGTTTCCTAACATGTCAGTGGACACGGAATAATTGTTCATTATCTGTTGCGGCATAGATGCTGTTATAGGAGTTTCAGCTGAGGCACCAAAGTAGATTCTGGTGGCACCATAACTGCCCCAAAGAGCAGCATACCCAAGGAAGGAGGTGCCACTCAGATGATCGTATTTTCTAAAGGAAAGCAGTCCGGCCACCAGTTGGCATATACCACCAATCAGGATGAGATGAACACCTATAAAAAACATGGAATTGAAAATATTGAGACTTTTTTTGCATTACTTTTTATTGTATTATTTCCACAGAATTTCTAAAAGTTTTACCTGCAAGTATGTTCTCCACTCCGACTGGTGCATTGCCAGTGTGTGCTGTATTGAAGTTTTGTAGAAGTACGAGGAATGCACTGATCCCATTAGATAACAAGCCTAACACTCCAGGTTCACCATAGAAACTGGCTGGAAATCCATCTGAAGTTGCCATCGTGTCTTTGTTGTAAAGCTGCTGTTCCACTGAAATAATAAAACAAATGACACAGAAAACATATCCATGAATGTATGTACCCTTTCTATTTTCCATCAAGTAAGTATGCAATACCAAATGCAGAGATCACCCAAAATACAAGTTCAGAATATTGTCTCAATATTGGTTGATTTCTTTAATTGCCAAAGTGGAATCATCCTCCAAGTTATATGCAGTGAGAGAGAGGTCACCGTTGTTTGTGATTGGAAAAACTTGACTCTCACAAAAGTTTACTACATGGAGCAAAATGACCTCCATTTCGATTGCCTCTCAACATGTTGATGGCTATGAGCCGGCAGCTCATAGCTTACGGTGCTAACAGCGCTAGCAGTGCAAACTAAAGCGACTTCATTCTCTGCTCAGGCAGACATTACTCCACTTTATCTTTACAAAGCAAACAGTTGTTTGCTGCTATAATTATTATTGGAGATAAAACTTAGCTGAATTTCAGGAGCAGGGCCACGCCTCAGCCACTCCCCCGCTTCCGGCCACACTCATATAAATACCTACCCACCCTAAGCCTCGGCTCGCTCGCGTTTTCCGCATCCCACCCTCCCTCCCTCTTGTTAAACTATTTTACCCACGGTAAATCATTTTCCATAGTCATTATCTTTCTGTCCCACACGGAGACCGGGGGATCTGCAAGGCCCGGGAGCCGCAGCGGATCCTCAACTAAGCCTTCCCCAAACCGCTACTGGCTAATCTCCACCAACCATTCCCCAATGGTCCAAATAATCGACGAAGGTTCGCCCTCGGCTGAGGCGGGGTCCTAGATAGTGAATTATATTCAAGCGCTGAATATTGAATTTAGCACTTGTAATGCCTTCTTTTTGTAGAACATTAAAGAAAAAGAAAAAAAACAAGACAAAACTAAAATTACAATAACTTTAATTTAAGGAACATAAATGAACTGTAAAGTGCAGATGACAAATTGTTAAGTCCTACAAACTCAATTGAGTCAAATTGTAACGTTCTTTTCTCTTTTCTCTTATCTCCCTGTAACATTGACAGAAACCTGAGTCTTTGGCCCTGTCCTGTCATCAGTGAAGTGGGCTAAACACTTTGAGAAGAGACACAGTGGAGTAGCTGTATTTAACTTCCCTGTGCGGATGACTGGAAAGCAGCCGATGTCAGCATAAGTAAGCATTTCATTCACGATTAACAGATATTTACAGGCATTAAACCAAAAGACAGGTACTGGTTCTGATTATGTCAGTTACCAATTTCTTGAAGATATAATCTTGGTATTCTCTGTTAATTTCATAAATAACTAAATTTTGTTCTCCATAGACCGATAGATTTGAACTAACTGCAGATATTTACCTCATGTGAAAAGTTAGTAACACCGTAGCATTTTAAAGGTAACATGAAATAATGTTTTTGTGGAAGTTAGTAATACAGCAAATTAAATCAAAGTCTTACCTGGTGAAGACGTTCTGACAGATGAACTTGAGTTGTTCTAACCAGGGAAGAGAGATTGTCATGAATAACGCCTCCTTGCGTGTAGGAGGAGTTCATGAAAGTTCCCCTTCACAGTCTGCAACCTGAGAGGTGACATCACTTCTCTTCACCTTAAACAATTTTTCCTCCACTTCTGAGAAATGGTATTGCTGGTTACCATGATGATGATGATGATGATGACAACCACTGTGGAAGTTTCTCCATTGAATCTGATTAAAATCGTGTTACGGAAAGGCCTGCCCTTCCCTGTTCCTCCCAGATCAGCGTCAGTAGCCATTGTGAGTCCTGGATTATATAAGGCAGGTACCCTCAATGTGAAAAGCATCAGCATACTTCCAACGACCTGTTGACTGCAAACCTACTGCATGCAAGATCAAGAAAAAAGAATTGCAACAACTGACTGAAGCTATGATCTCCACATTACAGGTAATGATAACATATTTATAGATTATTTTTTTTATAACAGGGATCTATATAATTGGGAATTTTGTTCAAGGTTGAGTAAGTCAAAAAGATTGTTGTGTATGCTTAAAACTGTATAACTTCATCCAGCGCAGGTTTTTATAAAAAATCATAAAATCACACTATAGCTTGAACTGTATACAACATGGTAAGGGAGAATTTAACAGAGCTCTTGGTAAATGTGGAGCAACTAACACATACTGTACCATACCTGATACACCCGCACAATAACTCTTTATACAGAATAGTCATTATAGTGAGGCCAATGTCCACTAAAAGGCTGATTTAATTAGGACTGAGTCTGTGGCAGAAAATAACAGCCTGTAATGAAGCTGAGATGTGGAAAAAGTGGTTTACATTAATACAAAAAATGTAATATGTAGTAATTTATAGATGAACAGTAAGGATATAATGTACGTTTTTTTATCCCCTGTAGAAAACCATAAGACCAGTGTGGGCTGTCAGAGGACTGCATACGCCCGCAGTGGAAGGTGAACTGAACTTCTTTCTCTTGTCCATTTCTGTCTAGTTCAGCCATTACAAAACAACACTTTTAGTTGTAGTCAAAAAATTATCTCCTTTACTTACTCCTGATTTCCTTCCTTATTTGTGCTCACTACATTCTTTGCTCTTTCCACCTGCAGCCTTGCAGCGCCCGGCCCCCGAGGACACAGTCACAGCCAGCTATGGGAGGTTCATCAGTCAAGTAAAGCTCCAGCACTTGTCCTCTGTCGTGCTCCACCGCAGTAAAAGGATGGTGCTAGACAGCATTGGAGTTGGTCTGATTGGCAGCACTACAGACGTGTTTGAGCTGGCCCTGGAGCACTGTCAGGTGAGTCAGACGGGGAATAAATATCTTTAAGGGGTTATCTCATACAAGGAAATAAGACTGATGAAAGTAATTGATTGACCTTAACCAAACAGTAGTCGTAAGTCAGTGCAACAGCTGTGCCTGAACTGTATACTGTTGTATTAAAATATCGTTGTCTCAACACACTTTTTCACCTTCAGCACATGTATGGTCCTGATGACATCAGCTCTGTGTACGGCCGCCAGGGTACCAGACTCTCCCCGACACTTGCAGCTTTTGTCAATGGAGTGGCTGTGAGTATAAATATGTGGAAAGGGTCACTATTGTCCCCAGTGCACCACAGTGTGACTGAAATTCAATCTGGGACTTGAGAGGGAGAGGCCTTTTATGCAACGCTCAGAGAGCAGAAATTTTAACACTTATACAGCTTTTGTAGTAAAAAGAGAATCTGATTATGCTGAAGACCCTCAAGACACTTTAAGATGTCTTGCTGGCACCCGTCTCCTCAGTTTGTGTAAGCATTTCACCACTGCACTGAATCAAAACAAGACCGTCCAGACACGCTTAGGTGAGCTGGAACACAAGTCACAGTTTGTCACATTCACCATGAAAATGAATAAGCCAATCAGATATCCACAAATACTAGGTCAGTCCAAATGGGAGGGGCTGCACGTATTCCCCCTCAATATTAAAAGTATTGGATTGGCCCAATCTGACAAGTGGCATTCCTCTCTGTGCTGTCTGCGGCCCATGCCACGGCCGAGGCCATACAGTGACTACTGACATCAGACATTGATAAATAAAAGCTATATAGTATTTCTAATAGATCAGCAGTTTGGGAGACTTCCTGAACTTCCTTATGGCCATTCCACCCCTGGGTGCAAATACTGAATTTACCCCACATTACCCTTGAATTCTGTTGTGGAAATTGTGAATTGTCCAATCAAAATACATTGGCCAGAGTGAGAGTTAACGTAGAAAGGAGATGAACTGCATCATTTAAACACAGACACTGTGTTTAAAACTAGTTACTGTATTGTTTCATGAAGCACAGTAAATACATTTACTACTACTCATAATAATTTGTTTGTTTGTTACAGACTCACTCCATGGACTTTGATGATACATGGCACCCTGCCACTCATCCCTCAGGAGCAGTCCTTCCTGCTGTGTTAGCTCTCAGTGACATGATGCCTGCTAACAGCAAACCTAGTGGTCTGGATTTCCTGCTGGCATTCAACATCGGCATTGAGATCCAGGGCAGATTGATGAGGTTCTCTACTGAGGCCCACAACATCCCCAAGAGGTAAGCACCTCAGAGAGTGGGTCAAATTGGACATAGATATTGTCATTTATAGTCTAATAACAATGTTGCAGTAGGTGTTGTACTTTTACTTACATTACAGTGATGGTTTAACAGATAAAAAGTCAGCTCATGTTTAAGGAGTTTTCATTTGTACTCTAAAATGGAGAACATGTATCCAAATGAGTCTGAAGAGATCCATATTTGACCCTACTGATCTCTGCAGGCTGGTTTACAAGGAGGCCGGTGCAGTGCAATGTGCAGCCTCTTAGTGGTGACTGTGAGCTGTGAAAGGCATGTTAATATGTTTAACTCAAGGGCAGCAGGGGCCCTGTGGGTAGTGTTAGCTCAAAAAGGCATGTTGAGGAGAATATCACACAAGAATCCATTTGGCAAGTGTTTAACACCAATTAAAATGACCCACCACATTATTTGCTTGTTTATTAATCACTGAAATGACAAAAAACCTATTTCCTTTAATGCCCTGAAAAAGCTGTCTGTGCATTATGATGGAGAGCAGCCATTTAAAATGCTCGTTTAGTCACAAGAGTAAATAGTTCCAAAGCACCTGACCAAAGTCTCTTGTTTTCTGTCCTTCTCATCACCAGGTTTCACCCTCCCAGTGTGGTGGGGACCATGGGAAGTGCGGCCGCATGTGCTCGCCTCTTGTCTTTGGATCACTCCCATTGCAGTCATGCCTTGGCTATAGCTGCTTCTCTATCAGGAGCCCCAATGGCTAATGCAGCCACTCAGTCTAAACCGCTCCACATCGGTAATGCCTCACGTTTGGGGCTGGAGGCTGCTCTGCTGGCCTCCCGAGGCCTAGAAGCGAGTCCCCTGGTCCTGGATGCTGTCGCTGGTGTAGCTGGCTTCAATGCTTTTTATGAAGACTATGTGCCGCAGCCTTTAGGATCACCCAACGATGACGGCCATATGTTCCTGCTGGAGGAGCAAGACATTGGCTTCAAGCGCTTCCCTGCCCATCTGGGGATGCATTGGGTGGCAGATGCTGCAGCCTCGGTCCATAAGCTTGTTGTGGGGCTTGGCCCTGGCACTGTTTCTCCAGCTATAGTCCAAGAAATCCTGCTCAGAGTACCCAAATCAAAGTACATTGACAGGCCATTCCCTGACTCTGAGCATGAGGCCCGTCACTCCTTCCAATTCAATGCTTGCAGCGCTCTCCTGGATGGGGAGGTGACTGTGCAGTCCTTCTCACCCGCTGCCATTAGACGCCCTGACCTGCACGCTCTGCTGAGCCGTGTTCACGTTGAGCATCCCCAAGACAACCCAGCTAATTTCAACAGCATGTATGGCGAAATCCAGGTGACACTTGTTGGGGGTGACATTCTGAAGGGACGCTGTGACACCTTCTACGGTCACTGGCGCAACCCGCTGACCAATGAGAGCCTGAGGAAGAAGTTCAGAAACAATGCAGGGGCGGTGCTTCCCCCAGAGAAGGTTGAGAGGCTGATTGGTGTGGTGGAGGAGCTGGACAGATTTGGGGACTGCAAGGCCCTTCTCTCACAACTGTACTGAAAGTTCACAGACATATACAATGACACTAAAAAACAAAATATTATAAAAAATATTATAAAAATACTGCAATATCTGTTGAGTTTTATTGAATAATTTGTATTATTTCATTTAATTTTGTTAATAAATCAATTAGTTGTAAAATGCAATGTAGTTACATTGCAAATGGGAAATGATGGAAGATGTATGTATTGATTAGATTGATTATGTATTCATACTTTCAGATAGCAACATTATACTTATATTAAGTGGTTTTTTTCTGCCAAATAATGTATCATTAAATGTCATTTTATACAATGGCAATGCTTGATGCTTGGAAACATTTAAATACAACAGAAGTATCCCTTTAACATTCCAGGTTTCATTACACAAATATTGCATTTCTGTTTGTTTTAATAAAATTACTAAAAGAAAATTTGAATGTGTTCCCTTTGTGCAAAAGAAAATACTCATATCCCTTCCTGTAAGTACTTAACCACACACTACCATATAAATACACGTTGAAAATGAAAGCAAGAGAGTGAGCTGCATGCGAAAATTCTATGGTGAAAATAAGTGACTAATGAGGACACAAAGTAAAGCAAATAACCCTGTTATCAGGTGAATCCCTGCCAGTAAATCATTCAAAAACAAATGGCTGTCCTCAGTCCTCTTTTCACGATAACATTCTTGTGTCCTTCAAATGAAACTTTGTAGAGTGAGAAAAGTCAACAAGTAACTACTATGCACACTAACGTCCGATAAAGGTGCTTTTCTTTTATATGTGTGTACACTTGGAGTGCAAACAAAACCAGCGGCCGTGTTTTTATATGCGGAGCACTGCTGGGAAAATAAAAATGTTTTCCTCTTTCCAGTCTATTGGCCTGAAGTCAATGTGTGGCGAAAAGTCTGCACAGGAGGAATTGGTCTTGAAGACACGTGAGCTGCGTTTGCACCTGCCCTATATTATGTTATCTCTTCTTTGGATACATATAGGGAGGGAGTCTTTTGTTTTATTGGGAATGATATTTCCATGTCATACACCATCTACCACCCTATAATTATCTTCAAGTACAAATCTTGTCTTTATCACCACTTCCTTATTTCCTTATTAGTCAAACTGACATCAGGCAATGCCATTATTCCCTTTGTACTTAGACTTTCAGGGGACGTTTCCCTTGAATTCATGCAACTTCACAGTAGAACACAACTTAGACAGTATGTTCAGATCATCTTTCCATATGATAACACACAGCACTGTAACATTTTCAATTGGTGATTACACTTATTCATCTAGTGCTGTATTTCCATTATAAAGTATAGAAATACTGGGGCAATAATACAATATGGCAACAATGGGAAGAAGGAAATAATCACTAAATATACTGCAGTTGCCAGGCAATGGGAAAAAGTATTTTTATACAGAGATAATATTGTTTGTACAATAACACACGTGCATCCTGTGTTGTATCATAAGGAAATAATAAGATAAACCTCTATTGATCCCAAGAGGGGAACTGTGGTTGTTACAGTAGAACAAAGACAACAATGGTGTCGATAGAGAAAGTAAGATAATTATATAATTAAAAAACTAATCTATAGAGACAAAATAAATGGCAATGGTCAGTGACAGTGGTGATTAACAGAATCATGGGCAAGTCCATGTTAACAGAGCGCACCAGACTGATATGATTAAATAATGGCATTTAATGTTTCTGTATTTATAGATGTAACAGAAATATAATGCACAAAATATAACATATTATTGCATAGTATGAGATATAGCATAATGTGAAAGGTAGTAATATAACAAAATATAAAGTACAGGAGTATAAAGAGATGTTTAATGTGTGTATAATATCATACAGTATGTGTAATATGGTAGGTGTATTGGGCTATAATATAATATAAACATAGTATACTGTATAACAGGATATATAACAAGGTACATATTAGGTATATAATCCAGCAGTCCAGCAATGGAGGGGAGAGTAATGTGTCTCAGACACTGTGGAGAATGGGTCTGTGTTTGAGGTTATATATTGTGACAACCTCCGCTTAGTTTGGATTTCAATGCAGTGCATGTTGAATAGGATGCTGATTAGTGCCTCCTGGTAAAACCTTAGCCCTGTGTACTCTCTCAGTCTACGACTCACTCTGCTTCTCACTCCTTCTCCTTCAAAAAATCAGAATTAACACAGCCTCGGATTCATGGAAGAACCTTTTATTTTCTGCTGAAAAAGCTATAGTCCTCATAAGTGGTTCTCTTCACAAAGTAAGTACATCAGGTGCTGTGTTTTTCACTTTCTATTCCGAATTCAAAGTGTTAAAACAGCCTTTACCGTGCATGATTAAAATAAGAACCACTGGTCAGCAGAGCTACACAGGAACAGTGTCTTTACACAGCCAACTGATGTTATCGAGTCTGAAAATAGTGCACGTGTTGTTTGAATCACAGTAACTCTGGTGGAAAACTTCAAAGCTTAAACTTAAATTGTACAAAGTGGGTCCAGCAGACAGAGTTGGGTTCATTCACCAACAAGGCAAAAGAAGTCTTAAGACATTCCCTCTGATGTTGACTGGTTATAGTTTGACACTTCAATGAGATTGTGGTCTGGATCTCTGAAGTAAAGAGAGGTGATGGTCCCCACAGCTCCGCTCCTTTCCACTGGACCCTCCTCGATCTCGACCCCACAAACCTGCACGGAAGACGAGACGATACAAACTGACATTGTGCATGTCAGTGGCATGTAAAGCCGACTAGTGGTTTTAAATGAGTAGCCATCTTGCAAGTTTACGATTGACATCAGTAATTCAAGACAGTGTGTAGGAAACAGGTGAACAACCTTCAGATGTGCAGCTACTGTAGCCAGGGGGGTTTTGGTGATGAGGCACAGATCTGCAGAGCCTGCGGTTGGATGCTTGGCTTTGGGCTCAAACTCCTGACCCAGCTGGTGAAGATTAAACTTCTGCTGCCCAAAACCCAGGGCCTTACGGGTTCCCTTGAAAGTGTAGAGACATGTGTGGGTGTTGAGAAGTGTCTGAAAGCTCAAGGTCCCTCGCATCCCTCCTAAATGAGTGGAGAGCGGTGCCATCAACTGGTAAACAATCAAAGCCTGCCATCTAGTGGATGTTCTCTCTAACCAAAAACAAGAGTATGTATAGTCTCACTTCTACTACTAAAATAAATAATAATGATAAATTACATTACTGTACAAAGCACCTTGCATACCTTGAAAGTGATGACCTCCATGCCAAGGACCGAGGAATAGAAGCTGATGGTGTCCGGCACACTTTTCACTGTGAGAACCAAATGGTCGAGGCGGCTCACTTGAACTGGACAGGTTCGTTTGAATCTGACAACCCCAAGTGTCTGTATGGAGACAGTCTATAAGAGATAACACAAATACATTCTAGGGATAAACAAAACATATCGACATTAAAGAAGGTATTGCAATGTAATTGAGCATCAACAGCGCCGCTGAGTGGAAAGCGTGTACGGCGTCACGTGAGCACCTGAAAGGTGGAATTCTAGTACCGATAAGCAAATGGCTTCAACCCTCGGAAGTTAAGTCGCGTTCAAGTACGTGGACATAATTAGCTACCGTAGTAACGATTTTTCTACAGCGAACTCTTCACGCGTCTGCCGTTAATGTTCCTTCCGCCCGTCCCGTGCAAAGTAATGAGTATGGAAAGTGCTAGTGAGAATAAACGTAACTTTGGTGGTGAAACAATCGGGTAATTAATTAATTTACCTTGAAGCTGTTCCTCTGAAAGTGCAACAATCGACTCCCAACTCTCTGCAGCGCCATCGTTGCCATACAGTGACACGGGTACTTCCTTGTTTCTCCACCTATATGGACTGTGAACGAGTGACGACTGTACAAATGAGGGGGTTAAACATTTTTTTCTTCTAAACTATACCTTTTGTAAACGAGACTTCACCGATGTTTGTCTCCAACAAAGATCATGCTCGTGATCATTTGTTTATGTCAGATGTGAATGAATGGGGACTTCCACAAATCCTACCATTAACGGTGCTCGTAATAACACTTCAAGCGCTTCATACATGATTACACATATTCAGTGTATATTGAGACAGAGGACGGGCACAATGGGTGTGACCTTTAATGCTAATAACACTGAGGGGGACACCAACCATCAGTCAAAGTCATCGGGATCAAAGTTCAAGAACGTGAAAAATTAAATTCTGAAAAGCTCAAATGTGAAGTGGTTAGGGGAAGAAAAATCGCTGTCAAATGAAAGCAAACATGTAAATAAAGTATATTTAGAGTGTTTAATATAAGTGTTAATATGGTATGGTAATAATAGCTCATAATGTGTGCACCTTAATTCATAATAATATTACCCAACAGCACAGAGTGTGTAAAGAATGCATACCTGCGATGCATTTTGTAACATAACTTGTTTAATTCAGCGGTTAGTTTCATTTAACACCCAGTTAACATACTGCACTGGGTGACACAGAACAAGGCCAGAACTAAAGAATGGCTTAAGAGGGAACATACATTTCATTTACATATTTATGGTATTCAACAATGACAATGTCTTGCATTCAAACTTTTATGTCCCACAAAGGGAACTAATAATTGTGGCAAAGACATCAAACAGTGGAACAAGAAACATGACAGGATGGCTTTAATAGTGATGCCCTTTTCTTACTTTAGCCAGTGTTTCTGATCAACAGTGCTATTAAAAACTACTGAACTTCAAAATAAAATAACTTCAACACATTTTAAAAAGGTAATAAGTCTTCATTTAAGATTTTAGCCATTAACAACAGTTCTCAACAATAGCATATATTTATATCATGGTTTGTATTTCCCTACTTTCACTTTAGCATGTATTGCACACTGATATGGAGCGTCTGCTCATGGGGCAGAAGGAGGGCACAGCGGGTGAGCCTCTGGACTTTCTACTGGAGCCTTACTGTGACAGGACAATTGTGTGAATTGGTAAATGTGTAACCCTCAAACCCTTCGATTAATAACTTAAGTTGTCACGTGTACATTGAGGTGGACCTCCAGGTAAAGAGATCTGGTTTGAGTTGACATTTCACTTGAAGTCAATTTCTGGTCATTTCAATTAATGCCAATACCATCTTAGAGAACTTGATTCAATCAATCGATAATTAAAGACAATCCAATATGTTAGTGGAAAAATTAAGAATCAGACCAGTAGATAATAGATGACTGGACGAGTGATTGTGAAATCATTGTTGTACATTAAAAAGTAAGTATCCTTTGACATTTGGGGGGGGAAAAGGCAAGTATATTCAAATTATTTGACATGTCATGCCTGATGTAGTAAATTCACATGCCAACCACTTGATCGACATTCAATATTGAGACATCCCTAATTTCTGGTATGAATACTACACAATCGTTTTAATGATCAAGAAAATAAAGATGCTACGATTCCAAAATAAGTGGACATTTTGCAAAACTAGCCTGGTTTGATTCGTCTTTCCCTCATGTCTGTACAACAATCTACTTTTTTTTAAACAATTCATCACAGAGTCTTCATGGTAAATGCTGCCCAAAACAGTAGTTTTGGATTCTTTCAAGTGAACAAAAAACGGAGAGCACAAGTCGCACTGTTAATGGCAAACCAATTTATGTCCTACATCCTGTGGACACCTCAAACTCTAAATAATTCAGCTGTGTACACTGACACCACCTATTCGTCAACAGCAAATTTAGGGATGCTCCGATAGAGAGTAATTGCGGCTAACACAACCCTAATCTTTATGAGATAATTTACAATTCAAAACCAATTCACTAATACAAAGTATGATTCAAACTTATTTTTACAAGCTTATTTACAGCTAATACTTTGAACTTGTGTAACTAAGAACTGTACCAATACCCAACTTCCGGTATATAAGGCGCCATTTACGAGTTAATACAAAAGAGCAGATGTGCCGCAACTACCTGCAGATGTGCAGCATTTATAACCAGGGGATTCTTTAAGAGATACCAGTCTGCTTGTGTGCACGGCTTAATGCAATGCAACAGACTGCTTGGTCACTACAAGTTGATTCAAACAGCATGCATTGCTTGTGCCTAACTTTGGACTGCAATAATAAATGTCTTACTAAAGACTGAATATGCCCCGGTGTCACTGTATGGAGCACCCCGAATCAAATCTATAAATGCATTATGATCAAACTCACAAATGGTATGAAGGAAATACATTTCAACAGTGGAGACACATTCAAAGCCTCTTTTGGACTTGGGATATTTGATTACTTAGGTTGAGACAAAAGGCCCGCAGTCTTTAATAAGCTACACCACACTCTCTCGGTTGGCCGATACCAAGACAGCCCTGCGGCAGATGGGGCAAGTGGAGTTTTCAGAGAGCCAGCGATCAATGCAGTGCACGTGATACTCATGAGAGCAGGGCAGCTTACGTAGCTTGTTACCTTCTGCATATTCTGTTATGCATACACTGCAAGTCTTCAAGGCATCACTCTCACCAAAGTTGCGCATTGAGAGGTTGTCAATCTGCTCTTTGGTCAGCCCTTGGGGCTGGTCCTCGTCATCATCATTTAGGAGGAAGAAGTGGGCAAGCCGCAGGAAGGGCAGTGAGCTGGGCTCCTCCAGGCTGATAGGTGGTCTAGGTCGAGCCCTGCCCCCGGAGGGAGGTGGAGCAGTGGCAAGGCCCTCATCAATATCAGATTCAGCTGTCCTTGCTCTGACTCCTGCAGCCACAGGTGGTTCATCAACATCAGCAACAGGAGCAGCAGGAGTAGCATCTGGGTTGTTGAGGGCTTCAGCTAGATCTGCAGGTGTGCTGGCTCCACGGTTTGAATCTGAAGAATCAGAGTCTGAATCCATGAGGTAGCCGAGTTCACCAAAACCAGTCATTATCTGCCTAATCATAGATTGGAGAGCCATTGAGGTTGCCTCTCCCAAACCTGCATCAGAGATTCTTCGGATAGGGATGCGAATAGTGCTGACATAGGTCCTCACACCAGCACGCTCAGAGCGTGAGAAAGTCCTACGGAATCCACCACGCTCACTCTCATAAAGAAATGTGTTGTTTGAGTTCTGGGAGCGCGAGCGGGTTCGGCTAGCAATGCTGTCTCTTTGGCGATATTCGCCTGGACGCACACGGCGCACCTGGAGATCAAGCATAATAGTAGGGGGCCGGCGCCCGGCTGCGCCCGCTTCCCCCCCAGCAGCTTCTCCTTCCTGAGATGCCATATTTTGGGCCTCTGGGACCGTTTCTGCACCAGCCCTAGATGGCTGAACATCACTGTCAGCAGTGCTTTGCCTAGAAAGAACATGTTGTCGAGTCCGAGAACTGCCCTCCACTTGAGGCACAAGGGGCATATTGGCAGCAGAGTTGAGGCCTTGAGAGCCGTGAGCATTATGTAGATTACGTAGACCATCCTGCTGATCCAGGTTGAGAGGGGAGCGGCTCCTAGCTGTACGGGCCCTAGTCCTGCGTGGTTCTGGACTACGGCTGCGGGCTCTCCTCTGTCCTCTGCGTGGAGAAGGAGAAAGTGGTGGTTGTACTGTTAGGGTGGCAGGTGACCTGGGTGGTTCTTCAAAAATCTCATGTGAAACAACTTCTTCTAATTCTGGCTCTAGTTCTGGTTCCACTATGACAGCCAATTCCTCTACAACTGGTTCTTCCACCACTTCCGTCTCCATGGGCACCTGTGGTTCTGCAATGGTCACCTGGGGATCCGCAATGGTCACCTGGGGATCCGCAATGGTCACCTGGGGATCAGCAATGGTCACCTGGGGATCCGCAATGGACACCTGGGGATCCGCAATGGACACCTGGGGATCCGCAATGGACACCTGGGGATCCGCAATGGACACCTGGGGATCACCATTCGCCACCAGTGGATCACCATTCGCCACCAGTGGATCACCATTCGCCACCAGTGGTTCAGCATTCGCCACCAGTGGTTCAGCATTCGCCACCAGTGGTTCAGCATTCGCCACCAGTGGTTCAGCATTCGCCACCACTTCTTGACCCTCTGGAGACTCTTCTTGAGACTCCTGCTCCCCTTCAGCAGCTGCCTGCTGTTCAGCCAGGTTGCGATTCACACTGATTTCCAGGCTGAAGCGAAAATCGCCACTGTTTGGGTTGGTCTGGCTTACGGCCCGCCATGACTGGTTTCCACGATGGCCAGTTCTGGTTGTGTTGCCTGTGCGCCTTACTGTGTTCAGCCAGTCTAAGAGACTATCCCCATTGGCAGGATCCTCAGAGTTTTCTGGTGGTTCTGAAAAACAATAGAGGGAACAAGTGACAAATCATATCTGAATTTGACAGTACAACACAGAGTCAAAAAAAGGCAAACTTACCAACTGGATCTTCTACACTTTCAGTGCTGGGGGCACTAGTACTGTTATTCTGCTGTTCTGGACCATCTTTTATTTGCTGAAGTCTACTAAACAGCTCATCCTCTGTCACCTCTCCTGAAAGACACATTACAAAAGAAAACAACAGTCCGTTATTGAAAAAGAAAAATGACAATCCACGTATTCCTTGAAGGTTTAAGTGTTTATTACACTTCCTCTTCTCTAGTCTGACCACCAATGTGAGCTGGGAGAAAGCCATTTGCAGATGTTGGGAGGAACTGAAAGATTAACTCCCTGCAATTAGAACAAACATTTTCTGATTCAATGCATAGAGAGAGGTGAAGTCAGCAGGGGGACACAGTGAGTATATCTATATCTACCACAGTAACATTCCACTATTATTCCAAATATGACAATATTCAGAATTTAATATGGATCATGTAAACAGTGTATTTCGCTTGGATATTCCAAATTCGGCTTAATTCCAAATGTAGCATTTTCAGATTAAGACAGATTTATCGATTTCTTCTGGTTTGAGGAACGGTTATGGACACACATACAGGGCATATGGAATATGCATCTCAATTGGGGTTTTTAACCACAGTTTGCGACACAAGACCTTTTACCTGTTCACAGTCAGTTCTGTGCTCGTCAGCAAAAGAATAGCTCGAGCAACATGACGGTAGTTTGAAAGGAAGGTAAAATGTAAGCTATTTAAAGGGCGTAGCCATTGGACATAAATCAACGGGAATATTAGTAGAATGTTCTTTTTCAGTTTAGATGAGTCTCTCCAGACTCATAATATATGTAGTGAAGACTTTGAAGGAATTTAAAATGTAGGATTCCATTGAATCATTTCCAGTGAGGAACATGCTGCCTTCCCTTTAGATACGTTCTTTTTTTTGAACAGAGGACTGATAGAGAGCTTTGTCACATGGTGCAACGACAATCACCTGAAGATTAATTAATATCAGCAAAACCAATGAGCTTGTCGTGGACCACAAGAGGAACAGGAGGCCCCCTGTCCTGGTTGTCATCCAAGAAGAGGAAGTGAAGAGGGTGGACTCATACAAGTACTGTGGGGTCCAAATCAATAAAAAAAAAAACTGGACTGGACTCACAACACCTCGGGAAGGGACAGAGCAGACTGTTCTTCCTGAGGAAACTCGGATCCTTCAGTGTACGCTCCTGCAGATCCTCTATCTTCTAGTAGCCAGTGCTCTGTTCTTCATTGTGGTCTGCTGGGGAGGTGGCATCAAGACCTGGAGGTCAGCAGTCTCAACAAGCTGTTAAGCAAGGCCAGCTAGGTGATGAGGTTGGCAATGAACAGTGTGGATGCAGTGGCGGAGAAAAGGACGGGGGCCAAAATCAAAGCCATCTTAACCCTTCTCACCCTCTCTACAACGAGCTGTGGCATATTGGAAGCTTGTCGCAGACAGAAGGATAAAGGACAAGATCAAAACCTGCGGGTGTTTCTCAAAATCAAAGAAGGATCCTTCAATGGCTGAATTTCAAGGATGCTACGTCACCAAATCCTGACGAAGGACTGTTCCAATGTCGGAGATTCTTTGAACTCTACAGAGGACTTACTACTTCATTCGGGGCATTTTCAAGTACGTGTGTGTTAATCCTCCGCATTCCTAAAAACACCCACAATCATATGCGCATACTGCATTTCCTGTCCCCCAATTTGGAAACATTGGAAGAATGCTAGTAAACTTTCAGTTAATTGACCTCAGCAGTCCACCAAAATCTTTTCCTCAACAGATTTGAGGCGAGAAATTGCCAATCCAGTTGCTGAATCTTCAGTCACAATAGCTCTTAATAGCCTAATATAAAAGTTAAAAATGTAAAAGCAGCAAACAGACTCATTCAGCGAGCTATTAATAGCACTGAAGCCAGCAACGGCAAAGATGGACAGCAGGGTAGAGCAAGCATAATGTCACATCTAACTTGTTAAATAAGGGCTTTATCTAGACCAAACCAGAGTGGGTGATTGTTTGAAGTGGAAAGGCTAACCAAGACAGTTGTGATGAGTTTTATTTTGTTTGTCAAGTTTGAATGAAGTGTGTTTTACAATCCGCGAGGTAATGGTGGCATTGAGGAGATTATGTTAATTGTATGTTTTGTCCCTGTATAAATTATAATAATTGTACAAATCCCTGATACTTTTAACAGGCCTACGTATTTTGAATGCAAAATCAATATTCCTACTAGAGTAATATATTGAATTATTCGAAGTAGTATATTAAAAGAAACGTGTATTTCTTCCGCACACCGGCACACTTGCTAGACCGTTCCAACATGTGTTCCCTGAATGCTAGGAAGGAGTCTTGGCCAGCCTCTGAAGGACCCGACTTGGAAGGACCAGTCCTATCAAGGAAGCATCCTTTCAGAAACATCCTGAGAGTTGTCTAGTGCTGGGCGGTATACCGGTTCAACCGCATTCACTATGTTGTTTTATGAAATGCTGAACGCAAACAAATACGGATTGAAACAGAATATTTCTTTAGATAATAACATGTTGTGAATTGTGGAAATAATTACATATATCTTTTGACTGTTGAACTTTACAACACTCGAGAGTTATTGGAAATGTTTAAATCACATGCGCCTGAAAGAAACCATGAGCAATACACAGATGCATTCTGGGATGGGCGCTGTCGGGCATGCTTTGAACTCATGGTGTGGGCGGTACCAGAGCAAAATTGGAGCAGGAATTAAGTCGAAGATCCAACTTTTTTTTTTTTTTTATATAAGCTTTTTCTGAAATGTGTCAACACGAAAATAATATCCAATGTTAATTTTTGTACAGTATAGGCCCATAGAACCATGTGGTTTTCTTTGAACACAGCAATAGGACAATACTGAAAATCACTGAATGACTTTTAATTAGAAGCACCTGAGATACAGTACATAAAATACTTTTAGTTAGCGACGACGTATTAATCTAATTAAAATAATGTCTTAATTTAAATATGTCTAAATACGTATTGGCATTTTTTTTTTTGTTGGCTGACTTTTTTTTTGTCAGCCAACAGTTTGAAACAGAGGATTGGAATTAAATTCAGCCCAGACAAAGCATACAGGAAAGCAGATATAATGACAATGGGGATTTAATTTTTAGATAAAATTAGTAAAACTAAAGCTAAAGCTAAAATGACTGAATCCTATATTACACACGAGCTTAGTAAAATCCATAGCTGGAGAGGCAATCTGTGATGTGACCTGGTTTCATTTTAATTCACTTTAAATAAATAAAATGTAGTGAGTACCGACACCCACCCCTATCTTTGAGTTACTTAGTATTACACAAATGTCAACATTTTCAGTCAGAGATTACAGTCACAAGACTAAAGACTATTGTGATTAGACTAAAGGTGTATTACCTGGGGTGCCCAAAAGATTGTTGTCTCTCATGAGACGATAGTCCTCATCACTTAGATTGTTGACAAACTGGTAGAAGGCCTCCTCCCTGTCCAGGCGGTCCAGCTGCCTTCGGCGTTGTGACTCTGGCTGGTCACTGCCACTCTGCTCTAAACTGTCAGACCCTTCCATTGATTCAGAGGGGAGGGAGGTTGAGGGAATGCTCTCCAATCTTCGGCAAGATCCAGCTGCTGAAGCAAAAAATAAAGATTATATGTATAGCTTATTGACTCCAATAAGAATACCCAGATTTAGAATAGGATTAGGCAACAGGGATTCACTACCAAAGGCTCATGAAATATATATATCCACTCTGTTAGCTAAGATGAATCTAATGTCATCAGTGTATTACCTGCCGTCTCTGGTATTACAATCAACCAGGGAAATGGCCATCAAGGGAAAACTCGGCTGGAAATACAGTACACAATGCGACACGCGTCAATTTGTAAACCCAGACTCAGTACTATAGTTACCATAAACACAACACTGGCTAGCTGAGCAATTATGTTTATCGCAACGTATTTATCCCGAACAAAACATACAATGTGGCTATTCTATAGCTACTAAAAATGTGTATACTTTGATGGTTAGTGTATTTCGAAATCCTACGGGAAAGCGATGTGTTTGTCAAAGTCGCGATAAAAACAAAATGGCATCATCTGGTTTAGCTTACGTTCACCAGCTAGCTAGCTAGTAATGTAACTTGCACGGTTTGCAACACTGACAACTTCGATCACAATTATCTAGACAAGAGAAAGAACTATGTTTGTAGTAAAGGATGAAGGAAATACGGAAACACTGGTGATCGGATGAGTGTGGTTACGTTACCATGTGTATCGTCGGCTCAAAACAGGCTTCTTAAATGAGCAAACAACCCCGGCTGTCTGGAGCTTTCACTACGCTAAAGCTAGTTAGCCTCCATATCTTACATTAGCCAACGCTAACTTAGCCGGTAACTTCGTGATAAGTGTCCTCAGTTACAGTACCTTGACGTAAATACTCATATAGCTGGTGTTAGGAAACACGACGTGGACTTGATATTAGTCTTGTTTATTGTTACTGAGGAAACCACGAGGATTTCCTTAAAAAGACATTGACGCTACTGTTAGCATCACCACAAGCTAACTTAGCGAGCAACATCAACCAATGACGTTCACAGCCATCGACCAGAGCAAACAAGCTAAAATTAGCTAGCTAATGCAAGTAAAGGTAGTCAGGAGGAACACACAGTCTGTCACCAAATGTTTGTTAGATTACCTGTTCAATAATGTTCGTAGCAATGTAATCGTACTTCCAAATTGTTCTTCTAATATTATCTCAGAAACGCTCGACTGTTTAGCTAAGTACAATTTCAGGATTCCATTTTCTTTCTTTTAGGAAGGCTACAATGATTTACCGGAAACTGAGTACCCAATAACTCTTTTCCCTGAGTTTAACCTCCCAGGTAGACACAAGCGCTGCAACATCACAGGCTAAAGGGTTTGATTTTACGTCGGCCAATCGTGGCGACTGAGGCGGGGTGAGTTGTTACGCCTGAAAGACTGAACTCAGAGCCACAAAATATTTACAGCCTCTGAGAACAGCAATAGAGAGAGGATGTTTGTGTTGGACAGTGTAGCACTGTGGAGCTGCAGCGTCACGATGCGGTTGTAAAGGCAAAAACACTTACCTTCCGCAGAATTCAGGCTAGAAGACAAAGATCTGCAGGCACACGATCGGCTTAAATGGCCAGCACACATAGCATTATACAAAGGCTTTCAATAGAATTATCTGTCTACTGTTCATAATAAAGCATGACATTTACCCCTCAATAGCATCCAATGGCCTATGTCACAGCATAAATCATAAATTGAAGCAACTAATTTAGGCTATTTTAGTATTATGTGTCACTATTGTTCTATTGAATCCCATTTTGAATATCTGTTGTTTAGTGTGTTTTAAAACGTGTTCTATTATCTTGTTAAACAAAGGAAAGAAGGCCTGGTTGTGATTTTCATATAGCAATAAAAAAGTGCAGTTACTAAAATCCCATGTGACTGTTTTACATCATTGATGCCTTACTTAGTTGTATAGTTGCTAGTGTTGAACAACAAAACACACACAATATAGCATATTGCCCAAGGCAGTGTTGTATGCAGCCCTCATAATTTTTTTCAACATTAACTCACTCAATTCTCAAAAGAAGTGCTTTTTCAACAAGCGTGGGGAACTGAAAATCCAGAGTTCCATTGATAAATAGGCTGGTTCTGCTATGTTCATCGTGTACTGTAGGTACGTCTACAGCAGGGGTCGGCAACCTTTTTGATATAAATAAACAATCACACAAACAATTGTACTAATGAGATTCTATGACTGCCCATGCAGTGTGAGCACGCACTGACAAAACAACTGGGTCTCATTTAATAACCACAGGTGTATCTGATCCATTGCATTAGACATTCTGTCTTGTAATTTGCTTGCTGACTTATTGGCTATGGGTGACTAAAGAACAAAAACAATGCTAATACCACCTGACAATTTTGGAAGCATATATCACAGAATCTGTTATGGTCTGAGACAGTATCTCCAGCTCCAATTAAGCATGCCAGAATGAGTTGCAGTGTGGACCACAGCAGCCCAGCTCAGAGTTATGGATGAGCAGTCACTCTAGCAATGGCTGACCCTGAGTGCTAATTAGATATGACATTAGAATAACATGAGCCGAAGTCAGGCTTGTGCAGAAATTAAAATGCCTTGCGTCGAAGAAACGTCCAATATAACAAATAAGGACAGACTAATTGGAGTTACTGAGGTTATAGCTAGAATTTCACAGTTTTGTGGAAACAGCAAAAAATGATAGTAATAGGGAAGAATATAACCTATTATTGTAGTATACCACAAAGATGGGGCGGATATTTGCTTAACAGGCTCACTTACACTTCACTCCTGACATCTCAATAAGCTGTTTGTAATATTAAGTGTTTTCCCAAAACTGCATGCCATAGGGGCAATTGTAATTATTGTTATGAATGGACTGAATTTGTGTGGAGAGTCTTGACTGTTTATACTGTAGTTACTGGCTACAACAACGGGTGGGCGGTAAAAAACACAACCTAACGCTCTTCAGAAAGCAGCATTCAAAATCTTATTTTAATTTGTATATTTACTCCATAAACATTATTACAAAACTCAGCAAGTTACCAATATTACAGTATCACCATACAGGCTTGATCACAAATATTTAAAACCTTTGCAACAGTTACAACAAAACAAAAAACTAAATAATACTCAAATAATTTACATGAAAATCTATAAAACAGCAAATTGTTCACAAATTATATATATTTTTTTCCAGGTTTTCATTTTTTTCTTTGCTTATTTGTGTTTTGCACAGTAACACAACACTCTCACAACAAGATCATGGTCTTATTACAAAACTCCCAACAAAATGTAAATATTTCTAGTTTTCTGTTGATATTCATATTTTGGTTTTTAAAACCAGAAACTTGTCATTGTATATCCTTTCCACTGCCCATATAGGCGCATTAAAAGGTTACTCACACACACAAATACTTCACAGCACTTTCTAAGAAAAATATACACTTACAAAATATGTTACAAATTGGCACACAAAAAATATACAAGATTTTGTAGTGTCAAGAGTTCATTAAGATTCCTTCTGGTAACAACTCTAGACAGTATATATAAAGCTCGGTAATCTTTTAATGAAAAGAGCAAAAGTAATTCCAATCAATGTTAAAGAATCATGAAGTGAATACATCAAACATAACATTATAATATACATTCATAAAGAGGGTTAGGTACCTAATCTATTTTGCATTTATTTTTTGTTAACTCTGGGAAAAAAAAAGAAAAAATGAAAACGAAAATGAAAAAAGAAAAGAAAATTGTCAGCTTTCTTAGCACCATTAACATGAGGCAGCTCAACAGTGGCACATTTTAAAAACAAAAAGAATAAAAAATGAAAATAATGAACTCAGAGAAGTACATTCAATTTGACAATAGGCAGAAATGAGAGAAGGCAGACTAAATGGGCTTGAAGCCCATGTGGAGCTTCCCATCAGCAGCTTGTCTTGGTCCTAACCCTGATACACAGGAGAAAAGAAACAAAGGATCATGGCAGAGAGGAGAGAGAAAAGAGACAGAGAAAGATTGATTATGATTCTTGCCATATGCAAGCAATCAATTACTATCACCTCAGAATTACCATATCCAGTGAGACAAGGCCTGTTTTTGAATCAAGCCTGAATTTGACTGCACATTTCCATGCAGTTTCATGTAATTACTGCAGTGTTTAAAAATTAAATTCAACATTCAAAAGAAAGAGAAAATATAGGCCTATTGTTTCAGTATATATTTATAAAAGATCATCTCGTAACCAGTTGAAGGGGTTCTGCATTTCCCCTTAAATACATTTACAAATCAAAAGAATTTATAACTGATTAAACATGATTGTATGGTTAAATTCAAGGTGGATTTATTTTTGTGCAGTGAGGCAGTGAATGAGCCCAAAGTAATTAATATAAATGGCCCAGGAATACACTGGATCAGATAGTACAAATACATTTTATTTTTCAATTTGTGCCTTTATTTGGCCTTGATTTTCTGGTGACATTATTTCTGCCAAAATATTGACCCATCAAAACTGAAATAACAGTTAAAGACACCATATAAAAGAAAAACCTTTAAAAGAAAGAAGTTAAATTAAGACATTATGTGATCGATGAACCAAAAACAATCAGATAACAAATACACCAGTGGTGCAACTCATAAAATATGGCAGTGTTAAGAAACAACTTACATGAGAATGTCAAGAAAAATTACTGTTTAAATTACCATTTCAGGTAAGATAGAAGTAAGATTCCCTAGTGGAGCTAATGCAAAGACATGCTTTCCTTCATTTACAGGAGTACTGATTCCATTTGTACTGAAAACTGCTTTCACATTCACATTAAATCTAACTGCAAACATGTTATGTCCATTCACCACTGATGCGTGCATCAGAATCTCTATGAGTTATAAACTGCCTTGAATTTCGAGTACAAAACAGCAATCCAGTGAGGCACAGCCCCAACTGACGAATAATTTCCTTGCTTACCCTCAAACATCTGCACTACACTCTCCTTGGTCCAGAGAAAGCTCGTTTGAACATCTCTTTTTTTATCGTCTTCCTCTACAGTAGCCTTCAGAGCAGATCGCCCCTTTGCCTCTCTTTTGTTGCTTCTCAGTGCCAGGCGATGTTGAGGTAAATTGAATTTGGCAAACAAAGTGGGGGAAACGAGGAGAATTCAGAGTCTTTCTGATTTGGTTTAGTGAGTGGAGGTGTACCACTGCCAGCTGTTGGTGCCTTTCATCAAAGAAGAGAGAAAATTCCCAAATAAAGAATTCCTGTGGTGGCGAGTCTTTGCAAGGAGTCTCCAACCCGAGCAGCCAATACTCCAATGGATAAAAAAGAGGAACAGCCAATATTCACACATATATAAGAGGTCATTTACACAGCATTGTTACTTTTGGCACATTGATTTTAAGATTATAATCATCTTTTTTTGCAAATATTGCATGTCCCTGTACAACAACATTGACAAAAATACTCTGAGGGTGGAGCTTTTATGAATTTGCAAGGCGTAAAAATGTAAATTTAGATAACCAGTTCCTCGAAACTCCAGAGGAAAAAAGAAATGCTTGATAAAAGAAAATGGGGAGTTATTCCAACTTTGAGGGGGTGAAAAAAAGACAAAGTCTGATATGTCATCAATACAAAATGGTCCCATCTTGTGTTTTCAAGATGTCTTGGGCTTAAATAGGGCTCATTTATTGTAGGTTTCCTTCTTGAAATGAGCCAGGCAGTGTATGAAGGACAGCAACAACAGGACATCCATATTCTGCATACAAAAACAGATGAGGAGGAGGGGTGCGTAGATGTCACTCAATGCATTTGTGTATATAGCTACATCTTTAGGGAAAGGGGGAATAAATACATAATTCAGGGGAGCCAGTTCTGCTGAGAAAATACAAAAACAAAGTTCCTCAAAAAGGCGACAGAACTGTTTTCAAGGCTTATTCTTTTTTTCAGACAAAAATAAAACAAAAACGACTATAAGAAGAACAAACAAAGCAGAAACAACAAAAGCAAGAAAAATGCAGCCATGGTCGTTTCAAATCTCAATCAAGCTTGACACAATCACTCAATAGGTAGTTTGCAAAGTACAAGAAGTTTTTCATGCAGATATTAATTTCCTCTTCGGGTGGGGGTTAAAAGGAAGTGGGAGTAGTCAGGGGAACGTAGTACTCATGCAGCTCTGGCATAGCGTCAGTGTAGGTATGCTTGGAGGGGAGGGCTGAGCAGGTAGTGGGGGGGGGGGGAGTGAGAAGGGGGTGCAACAGCAGCTGATAACAAAATATTACCTCAGTTTCTCAAACGAGGTCATCAGTGCTATGTCCTTATTTGGGTCTCTCTCCGCTCGCTTCCCCTTCAGTGTCTCAATCCGTGGGAACTTTGCACTGG